CATCGCAACGACGCTTAGCCGATTGCTTATTCTAGTCCTGCCTGGGACTTTTAGCTTTCACATGGTAATCCTCTGCTTGCTGTCATTGTTACGTTTCCTTGTTCTATTGGTGCGTCTCTCGATCTCAGCCTATTGATTACCACCTTGACACGATGCCTCTGTGCTAAGGAGAGAAAAGTAACAGTTCTGCAAGTCTGAAATTGCTGCCGACATGCCCTGGTAGTCCTTGTAGCCCTAGCTTGGTACCTCATACTCTGTACTAACCAAAGAGCGTGTGTCGAACCTGGTCTCGTTTTAGCCCTGTGCTTAATCTATCTATCTTCAATCCGGCACTCCCAACCCCCATACAGCACGAACGGAGCCCAGAAGTAAGGCGCCGGATTCTTCCTCCGTACGGCTAAGGTCACTTTCTGCACGGCTTTGGCAACGTCAAAGAGTACACCGCCAGAGACAGAACTAGCTCCCTTGGTGCTGAGTAGTGCTGGAAGGTCGGCAAACAGTTCTTCGAGGAACTCCTTCCCGACTATGTCTGAGCACTTCCACAAGGTGCCGATGGCCGAGGTCACTCCGGCAAGCATCAGCATCGGCAGCAGACCTGAGGGCTCCTCTCCCGCCCGAAGCTCTTGTTTTGCGGATTCGCAGGTAATCATGACAAAGAGCGCAACCTGGAGACGTGTGTTCAATATTTGACGAGCTGTCAGGTAGCGGTTGGAGAACTCGGCGACGTCGTCCGGATTAAGAACCAGGGCTGGTTGCAGCGGGTGGGAGGCATCGAGCCTTGCATGGCCATGGTAGATGGCCAAACCGGGCTTTTTAGTCGCTGCCAAAAACGACTTCTTGGTTACGTCTTTCCCAATATAGGGGCCGACTCCTAGTCTCTGTGCTAGACTCCTTAACCATGTCTCTGAAGCGGACCTATCGCAAGACGGATTTCCGAATACTGCGGACTTGCTCAGTAGGTCGAAAAAGGCTCGCGCTTTACGCCTTTGAACCCAGTCCCAGGCGTCCCCAACCTGTCCCGCTTCAACACTGAGACTGACGCCGAGTTCACAGACCAATGCTGTTCGTTCCACCAACGCGGCTTTGTACCTGAAAGTTTCCCCTTCCTCCTCAATGGTCATGTCGCTTCATATCCGGTTCAGAATATCCTCGGCCGCAGCCAGCTCTTCGAGTGCATACTGGAGGGCTTCGACTTGGCCTTGTTGGTACGCATGCTCCCAAATCAGTGCCTTGTCGAACCGGCACTTTACAAGTTGGAAGCTCATGCCATAGTCAAGGAGATTCTTCTCAACATGTTCCCAAGCCGCCAAGGTTTTGTTGAGAACACTCTCTACGTCGACGACGTCATGAGAAGGCACTCCCTTTCCGATGCACACTCCATAGATCCAGTATTGATATATCAGCGGCTTCGTGGTCTGCGCTCCTGTTGCCCCCCGGTTATCTCCCACTGCAGAATAGAGGAAACGTGCGAGCTCGAGACAGCTGATTGCGGCTGGATATGAGGCTGCCCAGTAGTCCGAGCAGAGTACGGCTGCTAGTCGAAATTGAATATCGGCCAGAACTGCTATCCGCTCTTCCCCCTCTGGCAGAAGCTCCAGGAAGTCCATCGCCTTCGCCAACCACGCAAGTGCCTCCTTGGCGCTTTTCTCTCTTTCCACACAACTAGCCTGCTTGCTTTTCAGGTCTTCAATCTGGGAAAGACAACCAAGCATCTCGATTTGGTGAACCACCCGCCGTCCCGCGTCGGTCTTCTCAACCCAACTGATCACAAAAAGCCTTGAAGTCATCAAAGTCGCCAAGTCGATGGCTATTTCTCGACACCAGTTGGTCTCGCCAGGCAATGGTAAGACACATAGCAGCCTCCCATGCTAGCTCGGGGTCTTCGGAGAGCTGTGCCTTGTCTAAAGCTGTTTGAGCCCAGTCAACAGCGGTGTCCCAGTTCTGTTGGTGCGAATAGATCGTGGAAACCAATATTGCGCAAATGCAAGGGAAATTCTTATAGCTGGTTCTTGCAATGTCTCTTTTCAGTGCCTCAACAACACCTTCGATAAGCTCTCCCTGTTCAATAAGGTCTCCCTGTAGGGAGGCCTGGACGAGTGCCGTGTATTGATCGATGAGGGCGGATTCATTGGCGCTGACGCCTGCAAGAAAAGACATCTTGAGTTACCATCTCGTTTGGGGTTCACGCCAGCGCTGTCATAGACGCATAGCTCGGGCTAGTGATATGTCGCTAAGTCGGGCCGGCACTGGGCTCTGCTCTTCTATGGCAAACACCTTGATGGAAGAGCCGGCGGTGAGGCGGCGGGTGGCTAGCCGCCACTCACCTGACGACTCACCTAATGGTGACAGAAAAAGCAATGCTAGAAGTGGGGCTTCATGGTATTGAGTGGCTTGACCCTGTACGTGTAGTTGACATTTGGCAATGCCTAGTAGTGTATACGTATTGCAAAGTCGGATGCGAATCTCTCGTCATTCTCACTGACTTGTACAGGTTGAAAGGCATACCAAAGGGGCAAAGCCTTGTCCCGGATTTCGCAGAAGACATCGAGGCGCTCACAAGCGATGATCCACATTTTGATCTCACCTTCGAGCTTGACGTTGATGCCGAGGAAGAACTCGTTGAGGATGAAAAAGCCGAGTTTGTCGATCCCGCTCTCATCACTGGCGTCCAAATCAGGAAATGCCGCCTGATAGCGACCAGACAATGCGTTGAGTACGGAATTGTGTCACCGTGTCCTAACGCGACGCCGGGTCCGGGCATTTTGTGGTGTATTGCCTGCACCATCCACCCCCTTGGAGATGCGTGTCAGGGAAGCTGGCGTCGAGCTCAGCCTGCACCATTGCGCTGCTTCAGCCCGAAAGCGTCGACGACGAGGAGACGGTCGAGAAGGTCCGCAGGAAGCTCACCGGCGAGTTCAAGTCGGCTACAAACCCGCTGGCGCCGAAGGCGCGCTCGGCATTGAGCGCAAGAGCGAGCAAGAGAAGACTTGGGGGCAGTGCATTCGGGGGTCCAGAGTGCACACCGACCGTGGCGTGTGGATGCTGCGGGAGAACGCCCGGTGCAAGAAGGGCATTCACCTCAAATGCGTGGCCGCCTTGGTCGCGAAACTCCCAGTTCCTGACAACGACCTCGAGGCGGACCTGGAGATTCGTGTCAAGCTTGGCCCCTCGACCGGCAACAGGCTTGGAATCCGGCGCATCGTTGCATCGCATGCTGCACGAAGCGGTTTGAAAGCAAGACGATGCTCGCCTTCCGCCCAGCCACGCGGAACATTAGTGAAGAATGCTCTAGGAGACATGAAAGTCCTTGGACATATTGGAATATCACCCAAGTAGTGAATAGACCCAGGCAATATCCGTATGGAAGATTCTATGGAAAGCCCAAAGGCATGGGACCGTACTGGATTCTCCGGTTGTCGATTCTGTCCAAACTCCGTAAGATCTTGCAAAGCAAACGCAGAGCAGTAACAGAATGTTACTTCGTAAGGCTGTGCCTAGAAGCCCAACCTGGCTGGGCTCGGGACAGCGAATGGACATTTGAAGGCTGAATTGGCGGCATACTGGTAAGTTGCTTGCATGATTCCCGTCAAGCGCGTGATAGTCGACCATCTCCATAAGAACATGATGATGAACGTAGCGCCGCTGGCGGATCAGTGAGTCGCGCTACCCGTGGACTCGGAATGCTTCAAACCGATGATCGGCCCATGGCTAATGCTGGAAAGGCAGTATGAACGTAATTTGATCCATGCGGGCCATATCTGACTCGCGGCAGAGAGAGAAGGAGCTGTTGCAACTTGCAACGTACGAAGACGTTCAGAAAGGTGGAGTCTTGTGTATGACGAAGTACCCTAACCCTGGACGGGGCTGCGCCACGAGGCTTTGCCGACCCCCTGGTCAAACAAGGCAATGAGCTAACGTTAACAGCTCGATCCAACTCCAACAACCGTTGTTGGCTTCCGCTTGTCATCCTCGCTATCACCATCGACATCGCCTGTAGCCATCGGCCCATTCGACCGACCGTTGCGATGGCTCCGGCACGGGACACGCCGTTCCGCTCGGCGGACATGAGCATGGTGCAGCTCTACATTTCCAACGAAATCGGCCGCGAAGTCGTGAATGCCCTGGGCGAAGTTGGCCTGGTGCAGTTCCGAGACGTGCGATCCCACCATCCATTCTTTCGTTGGTCTATTATCTGCTTGCTCTACTGACTTTGCTTATCTGTCTAGCTCAACGGCGATTTGACAGCATTCCAAAGAGCATTTACTCAGGATATCCGCCGCCTCGACAATGTTGAACGCCAGCTTCGTATGTCCCCTCCACGGGTTCTCGCTGCGCTTCCCCAAATCATAGGCTTGCTAACCTTCGGCAGGCTACTTCCACGCCCAGATGGACAAGGCCGGGATTCCCCTCCGCAAACTCGACCTGGATGTCGATACCCTCGCCCCGCCCTCGACCACCGAAATTGACGAGCTGGCCGACCGCTGCCAGAACCTGGAGCAGCGCATCTCCTCGCTAAACGAGAGCTATGAGACGCTGAAGAAGCGCGAAGTGGAGCTCACTGAGTGGCGGTGGGTGCTACGTGAGGCCGGCGGGTTCTTTGACCGCGCCCACGGGAACGTGGACGAGATCCGGGCTTCAACCGACGACGACGACGCCCCGCTGCTGCAGGACATCGAACACCACACGGCGGCGCCCGAGGTCGAGCGGTCTTTCTCCGGTATGAACATTGGATTCGTCGCCGGTGTGATCTCCCGCGACCGGGTCGCTGCCTTTGAGCGCATTTTGTGGAGAACGCTGCGCGGTAACCTCTACATGAACCAAGCCGAGATTCCCGAGCCTCTGATCGACCCTACCAACAACGAGCCGGTGCAAAAGAACGTTTTTGTCATTTTCGCGCACGGAAAGGAGATCCTGGCCAAGATTCGCAAGATCTCAGAGTCCATGGGTGCCGAGATCTACAACGTCGACGAGAACAGCGATCTGCGGAGGGACCAGGTGCACGAGGTGAATGCCCGGCTCAACGACGTCCAAAACGTTCTGCGCAACACACAGCAGACGCTCGAGGCCGAGCTCGCGCAAATCTCGCGCTCTCTGTCGGCGTGGATGATTCTGATCAGCAAGGAGAAGGCCGTGTATAACACGCTCAACCTCTTCTCGTACGACCGCGCCCGTCGGACCCTCATCGCAGAGGGCTGGTGCCCCAGGAACGACCTCCCGCTCATTCGTTCGACACTGCAGGACGTGACGAACCGGGCGGGGCTGTCAGTGCCGTCCATCATTAACGAGATCCGGACCAACAAGAAGCCGCCGACGTACCTCAAGACGAACAAGTTCACCGAAGCATTCCAGACCATTGTCAACGCCTATGGGACCGCCACGTACCAGGAGGTCAACCCGGCCATTCCCGTGATTGTTACCTTCCCTTTTCTGTTCGCCGTCATGTTTGGTGACTTTGGCCACGCCGTCATTATGCTCTCCGCCGCTCTCGCCATGATCTACTGGGAGAAGCCCCTGAAGAAGGTAACCTTTGAGCTCTTCGCCATGGCCTACTACGGTCGGTACATCGCCCTGGTCATGGCCTGCTTCTCGATCTACACGGGTCTCATATACAACGACGTCTTTTCCAAGTCGATGACGCTGTTCAAGAGCCAGTGGGAGTGGGTCGTGCCGCCCGACTACCGCACCGGCCAGCAGCTGGTTGCCCGGCTGCGGGACCCCAACTACCGGTACCCGTTCGGCCTTGACTGGAGATGGCACGGCACCGACAACGACCTCCTCTTCACCAACAGCTACAAGATGAAGATGAGCATCATCCTCGGCTGGGCGCACATGACGTACTCGCTGTGCTTCTCGTACATCAACGCGCGGCATTTCAAGCGGCCCATTGACATTTGGGGCAACTTTGTCCCCGGGATGATTTTCTTCCAGTCCATCTTCGGCTATCTCGTCGTGTGCATCGTCTACAAGTGGACCGTCGACTGGTTCGCCATTGGCAGGAACCCGCCGGGACTGCTCAACATGCTCATCTACATGTTTTTGCAGCCGGGCAAGGTCGACCCGGCCGAGCAGCTGTACGCGGGGCAGAAGTACGTGCAGGTCTTTTTGCTGCTGCTCGCCGTCGTTCAGGTGCCAATCCTCCTGTTCCTCAAGCCCTTCTATCTGCGCTGGGAGCATAACCGCGCCCGGGGCAAAGGCTATCGCGGGATCGGCGAGCGCGCAGTGAGGGTGAGCGCCCTGGACGATGATGCCGACGGGGATGATGGTGCAGCGGGGCAGAATGTTGCGAACGGTCGCGGGGCAAGTTTGGATAGTGAAGGCGAGGGCGTCGCTATGATTGCGCAGAATTTGGATGAGGATGAGGGGGAGGGTGGCGGAGAGCATGGGGAGGAGTTTGAGTTTTCGGAGGTTATGATTCATCAGATTATTCATACCATTGGTAAGTTTCCTTTTGTTTTCTTTTTGCTCTTGTGGCTAACCACCCTGATGTCTAGAATTCTGCCTCAACTGTGTCTCACACACGGCGTCGTACCTCCGCCTCTGGGCCCTGTCGCTCGCCCACCAGCAGCTCTCGGCTGTGCTGTGGTCCATGACCATGGGGCCGGCGCTGAAAATGACGGGCATTGGCGGGGCTATTTTCCTTGTTGTCATTTTTGCCGCCTTTTTCTGTCTGAGCTGTATCATTCTGATCATCATGGAGGGTGTCTCGGCTATGGTGAGTCTTTTCTTTCTTTCTTTCTTTCTTTCTTTTTTTTTTTTTTCTTTCTGTCCCTCCGTCATAATTCATTGTGCCATATATGGTGTTGTCCCTTGTTTGCAACGGGAGATAAGCTAACTTAGACTTTTGCAGCTTCACTCGTTGCGTCTCGCCTGGGTCGAGTCGTTTTCAAAATTTGCCGAGTTTGCCGGCTGGCCGTTCACCCCGTTCTCGTTCAAACAGATGTTGGAAGAGTCGGACGAATTGAAGGATTACATGGGCTGATTGAGAGAGTGTACATGTAGTGGGGTGTGGGGGAATAGGCAGTGTATAGTATGGTATGCATGTGATAGAATAGATATCTCACATCGTTTTTGTCGGTTTTTACCTGCTTTGCCTCTGGTTACGTTGTGTGCGGGCGGTTTAGAAGAAGCTTGGGAAGCGGATGGATACGGTACTACATATCCGTGACTGCTGAACGTGTGTGATGGTCTTGATCAGGTGAGCATCTATCTGGTCATTCGAAATTGCCCCTATTCTACAAATCTGCAGCGCCCGGCTCTTCCCTCGTGTCTTGCTTTGGCTGCGTGGCTAGAGGGCATTAAGCTATTGACTCCGAGTGGGATGATGATCGGCCCCTCAGTTCCGTTCATCTCCAAGATAGATGGCTAAGATAGTGGGCTTTGTTCCTGAGGCGAGTAACGTGACGACTGATATTTACTGATCGAAATCGAAAGACTGTCCGCTTGATAACCGGGCGAGGAGGGCTGGAGGCATGATTGTTTTTGGCTACTGTTCGAATCAAAAGGAAGGAGGGGGAGAAGGAAGGGAGGAGCGTGGGATAAGAGGGAGAAACAAGGCTGTAGAAACCACCTACGGCTGTGGTGTTGGAGACTATCATATCGCCTTGGCCTTGTCGATAGTGTGGTGTACATAGTGTGGTGTATTTCTCTGTTGTCATTTCCCCTGACTGTCTACGTGAGGTACCACGCGCAGGACTAGAACATTCAATGTGCATTGCCGCCGTAGCAAAATTAAAATCCCGCATAAAGCACCTACGCCCTTGGGACTGATGACTCTCCACCCCCAGATTCTCGAAGCCTTCTGGAAGGAAAGGGGTGAATGGGGGTTACATGCCGGGCTCCACCTCGTCTTGAACTACATGTAATGCATCTGATTACACCAAGTTACACCACCTTGCCTGCCGCCCGAAGACCGTGGCCAGGGTGTGGTATGCGTCTGAGCATATACTCTTAGATGGGGAGTGTGTTGGGGGGGGGGGGGGGGGGGGTGGATTTACAGGTACCTGTCCGTAGATAGATAAAAGTATGCATCTCGTGTGTTGTACGACTTGGAGGCCGGATCAGCCCGTCGATTGGCATTACGTACCTATTGTAGCAACCGATCTTTTTTCATGAAATATGCACGCGGGAGGGAGGACGGGAGGGTGGAACCGCGGGAGAATCTACAGTACCTTTTTACGAGACGATACTTGGTTTGGATTCCGATCTCTGTGTTACCACACTTTTGGCCGCCTTGCCCTGTCATGACCTGACCTATGTACCTCGCGCCTATGCAAGGCTATGATGAGGTGGGTTCATCAAACTCACAACATCCGACCGCAATCTGATGTGTGAACACGAGAGATTTTAGTGTATGATCACGAATACTCGGGTCAGATACAAGACTCGGAGTTGCTCCATACGGACATAATTCGCGTGACATGTACCGTATACGCAATACATTACAGAACGTTCAAACTTCAACCAGCTGTGCTCCGTCGCCGCCTCCGGCCGCCCCGGAATCACAACCAAACCGAGCCAGTCCCGGAAGTGAGCCCCCACTCACCTACCTAGCACACTACACCTCAGCTTAGTGTATCAAACCCCCATCATCCAACTTGCAATCAATCTCTCCATTTCCACACCAAACCACTGTTGCTGTTGCTGTTGCCTGCTTTCTGTAGCAGTGTTGATACCCAAGTACGGATTATGCAAGTCAGGAAAATTAAACATTATGCTACCTCCGTCCACTAGAACAGCTCACTCTGACTCGGGGGTTTCCAAGTTCCAAACCCGCAGTTCGCACCACACACACGCATAACGTTGACTCCATAACGTCAAATGACTGCATCTACACTATAGCCACACCTCAAGTCATATACCTACATGCAGTAGAAATCCAAAGCCATATCCCCGGAACGCGGCAGCCAATCATCCACCGGGTTCGCGATGGCCTAAAAATGGAATCATTTTCTTCTTCAAGTCAATCCTTCACATCGCCGCAGCGTACAACGCCACACCCGTTTCAAATCTCTCATAATATGTCTGTCTACTGCATACTCTACAGTTACATCAACGCCTTACATGTGCTTTTGGTTCAATGCGCGTTGAACTGTTCAACATGCTGCCATGTACTGTCCTATCCAGCACTGCGTTCACTTCACCCTCCGCAATCGGCATGCCATGCAACATGCACTGTTGCTGATAGCGCAGCGACCAAAGCCGAATCATCCTCCGTTCGCCTCACTTATACACCAAGGCGGCATCTCGGACGTGCCTCAGATATCCACACGGCCAATGCAGTACAGTACAGAGGCAGCAGAGGATTAATGCAGTGAATCAATCTGGCGGACGAGCCGTCTATTTCTGTGTGTCTAAGGTAGGCTCAACTCAACCAATGCAAAGCCCCGAGCCAACCAACCTCTAAACTCAAGCATGCTTCTTCTGTCTATGGTCTCTCAGGTTTCTCCCTCACCCTAAAGCATATCAGGGTCGATAACGACTTTGTTGGATGGTATGGGGTAATAAAACAAAAAAAAATTGATAGATAGTCCCAAAAACGACTGTAGCCACGCCGCCCACTCAAAAGCCCAGACAGATAGAGGGCAAAACGCCAATGCTGTGTGCTCAAAAACTCCGTGTTCCATCTCTTGGCTCCCGCTCTGGGCAGCATGACGCTGCCGCTGATCGTGGCCTCTCGTGGCCTCGAGGAGAAATGCAAATTAAAACTCGTCGATGGGGGTATTTCCGCCGATAAGAGAGATATTCAGGCAAAGAGGGGAAATGGAAATTGCTGCATTGACGAATCAAGGTCGGGAGAGCCCTAAGGAAATGCGGCAACCCAGCTTCCGGCGTCGGGCCCAGATTAAATATCGTAATAGAGTCGAATGGTGTCTTCGAAATAGTTTTTGCCGTAGTAGAAGGATAGTAAGTGGGCTGAAGCCTGTAGGGCATCATGCGCAGCCGAGACCTTGGTCCTGGAAGAAGCTGAGCTCATCCTCAACGTCGCCCTCATACACCAATGGTGCCCACACCCGCCAATGCAGGATTCCGAGATGCGCCAGCCGGACTGCCATATCCTCAATGCCAGCGTCCTCGCGAGGGTCGCGCGGCGCACCGACATCTCCAAAAGCGCTGATACCACGCTGGCTTGGCCGACCGGCGCCGTACATCCGGCCGCCTGTCACAATCGAGAAGAGCTGAAGCCCCGAGAGATTCTTGAATTCGCTGACCCGTTTCGCGAGCTCCGCCAGCAGCCGCTGGTGGAATTGTTGTTCCACCTCACGGAACAACTCATTGTGAACGTCACTCAGCCGCGCAGCAAGCTGCTTCTCGAATCCTGGCAATGACGGAGGCGCATTCGCATAGCGCAAGATCTGCAGGGCCATCGCGTCCGCCAGACTCCTCCACCTCTTTGCCGGAGAAAGGGATGCAACGCCTTCGGAGAAGTTGGCTTGGGGTGCCGTATGAAGAAGGGCAAGGAGTGAGTTGTAGAGGTCACGTGCTTTAGTGCGGGACTCTGCGGCATCTGACGACGGTTGCGGGAAGAAGACACCCGAAGTACGAGGCGAAGAGAAGTTGGAGCCATGGTCGCTGAGAGCGAGGCTGGACGGACGCGATGTAGTCGGGGCCATGAAGTTGAAATCGCACGAGGATCGATTGTTCGCCGAGGGCGCCTCGCTGACGTATGACGGCGGCCTCTGGAACATTTGTGACACCCTGGATAGGCGTTCCAGGTCCTCGTATCTCCTCATGCAAATCTCCAAGCAGATGCTGTCGTACATGTCGGATCTGAGTTTGAGAAGCCGATCCTCATCGAATGAAAACGTCGATTTCAGGACCTTGGTCGAGCTTGACGGAAGGACTAGCCTAGAAAGAGCGTCAAAGAAGACAGTCATCTCGCCGAAGGCGTTCAAGTACGGAATACGCGAGTTCGCATATTCTCGCTCAACATGCTGCTGAGCCGCCAAGTACCACAACCGGGCGGGCGCAATGCTGGATTTTCTCGACTCGATCCTTTTGAGGAAGTAACGCTGTTCAAAATGCACCGTGTCCTCGATCAGCACCGGGCGAAGGCACCGGATCTGGTGGTTCGCCACATCAAGCTTCATCGCTTCTAGCACGCTGAGCAGGTTCCGCATACCCTTCACGAGCTCGGTCATGTCGTTGTTGCGGTTCCCGTTGCTCAGCTCCTGGTACATCTCGTCGACCCATTCATCCCGCATCGGGGCACAGTGGAGCTTGAGCACGCCGGCCAGCCACGACGCTAGTTTCTCGAGATCGGCAACGCCGCGGTTGAACTGTTGCATCAAGAGTTCAACGTTGAGACCCTCATCGAGAAGCTCCCGATCCCGCTGCGGCACCAGCGTCTCGACGATTTCACGGACTGCCTGCAAGAGCGATGGCAGACACCAGTCCCCGTTCGGGTATCTCACTTGAAACTGCTCGCGGTCCGTGACGAACATGACCAGCTGCTCGAGGAGCGTCGACCAGAACTGATTAGCCTTCTCCTGCTTCCTCCTTCCCTTCTCTCCATCCAAATTCGGTCGGAAATGGAGCTCGGGATCAAAGTTAATATCATGCCGCAATTTCGGATTTTGTACAATCTTTGTGACGTCGAGTTCGCTCAGAGTTTGTTTTGTGACTGGCGGCTCGAGCGGGCGATCTGCGACGATGCTCACTGGACGAGACCCCAAAAAGGGTCTGGAGTCTGGTGGTGGTGCGTGGGCTGTGAGATATTCATCGCTCTGTTTTGTGCTAGAGTTCGTCGAGCAAGAAGATGGATTTCTAGATAGCCCCGGCGCAGCAGTGCCCCCCGGTGCAGGTCCGCCGGCGCCAAGGTCGCGTGAACCACGGGGTAAATCTTGGGCAGCCGGTGCTATGTCTGAAACATCCGACTCGGGGGTTGGATTCCGCGTCTCCGGAGCGGGCTCGGCCGGTATCGGCTCCTCGCCGGAATCCTGTCTCCTATGGGTGGGCATGTGGCTCTCGATTCCCCCACCAGCACCTTGATCGCCCATCTTCAACGTCGGCAGGTGCTGTTGCGATATCGTGAATCGACGGCTTATCGATGCAATGCAGACCAAAAGAGATGAGAGCGCAATCAGATCTCAATTGGCACCAGATGATGAGTCGCTTCACAAGTTGACTCTCCCACGATTATATAGAGAGAGGAAGACCAGCTGTCCTGGTTAGCATCACTGCAGCATACTCGAACGGGGAATATAGCCGGCAAGGTGCAGGGACAAACAAAGCGGTATGCAACACAATCCGGAGACGAGGTCTCGTGACACCGGGAGAATGCATGAAGCACTGTACCAGTGGTCGCTCAGAGAGTAAGGTCCCCGGTGACAAGCCTCGCTCGAGGAAGAAGCGGAGGAGGTCAGGCTCACCTGCACGGTTCCTGGTCGAGTGCCAAATTTGCAATGTCGATGCTCCCCGATGGCGCGGTTTGCTGACCGACGGAAGCAAGCAGCGCGCGCGCTGAACAAAGTACCGCGTGAAACGAATGTCACCGGAGTCGATTATGGGTGGTAGGCAAGCTTGGACGGGAGCAGTATGGAGAGAGCGGACGGTGGTTTTGGCCCAGCTCCGAGGCTCATGCGACTAGAAGGTGCCAGTCGACCCAATATTGAACCAAGCGGAAATAGAAAGGAAGCACGGCAGTGTGGGTAGGAAGAAGAGGCGGTGGGTAGGGGAAGAGTATATGTACTGCCGCTGCATGCACGAGCGTAGTCCAGTGTCTGGGGCCTCGAAAACAAAACCGGAACCTTCAAGCGAAGTGTATACGCTGCGCAGGTATGGCTTCGGTGAGAAGATGACGGCAAACAAGAGCAGAAAGGGACGAAAGGAGCGAAAGTAAGCAGACAGGTGCGGCCGTCTGTCAATTAGTATTATTATGTGTCAGTTCAATGGAGATGGTAAGAGCGCAAAGGAGTGTGAGTGATGAGATGGGAAAGGGTGGGAGACGAGATTGCATGGAAAGGAGAGAGCCACGACATAGGAGTGGGCCATCTGAGGTGACAGTGCTTTTGGGCCTCCCAAACGCTTGTAGCAAGGGAGAACTAGCGGCAATGGCACCCTTGCACCCCAGCTCACGTTAGACTGTGGGAACTCTTCTTTTTCGCGGTTCCCCTTGCCTTCTCCTGCCGTGCTGGCGGCCAGCACACGAGACGACCCAGTCCCACATCGAAAAAATGATCAATAAAGACACACCTTTCAGGTACCGCCCCCATGCAGCATCAGGCTTGCCGTGGACCATGCAACACCCCCTTCTCTGAAGGGAGGGGCGACCCACACATCTGGAATCCGCCTCAGGACCGCCCTTTCTCTCAGCGGGTACAATACCTACCTTACACAGTACCACAGTAGGTAAATAATTACAGTACATTACCGATGTACTGTCTTGTCCTCCGGTATTTAAACACCCAGAAGTCAGGTAGTCATTATCACAAATCAAGCGTGAGCCGTCAGGTTTGGCGAGGACACCGCGTACATCGCACGAACTTGTTTGTAGCCATTGCGCTGTGCGAGCAGAGAGTCAGGTCATGTCGGGCAGTATGGTACCGGTAGTCAGGCGTAAGGTGCAGCCCGATCCTAGGGGGCTCAACAGCAGAGGCACCGAGTATCCGTATCATCGGTCAGGTCACTCCGAGGCGGCAAACACGCCAGCAACAAAGCAGAGCCATTCGTACGTTGCAGGCGCTAACCTTACATTATTTCCGTTTTATACAGTGCATACCTCACGAAGTACAGGATGCACTCATCCAGCTGTAACGTTATGCCTGGTGGATTTGCTCCCGTTGAGGCGTTTCATCAATCTTGGGCGATTCCTCGGTCGAGGTCAAACAATGTCGACGGGCATTCATCACCTTTTGGTTAAACATGCGCCTGCCAAGTGTCCGGTATGGAGGTTTGTTTCGTAAATTAGGTAAATACATAACGTTACCATGTAACCGTATGTGCACTACATTTGCAGCGAGAGAAATGATTGTTGCAGCCGGGCAAGGCGCTTCAGTGGTTCAAATTTCCCGAAATAATCAGGCTGTTAGAACGGCATAACAGCGGCGAATGCAAGTGCCACTCTCAGGCTGCTTATCAAGTCATCCTCCAACATTTTTGGAACAGTTAGAGCGCACAAGTCAACTTTGCCTTTGATCATCTCGATGCATCGCAGATCTGCTCCCGTCCGTCGATAGTGTGGTCAGGATATGTAGCACACCAATCAGAGCTTCAGGCATTGCTCGGACAGGTAAGGAGTGGGGGAGTTCCCCGTCAGGCCTTCTCCGAGTTGAAAAGTTAAAAAGGAGGTGGCCAGGTCTTGCACTTTCTTTTCGCCTTGTGTTTCTCGGTTCGTTCTCTGTTCAACTCATCGATTCGGAGCATCGTGGTCCGCATCCGCAGTTGTACTTGACATACAGGACAGGGAAAATACACCATCTTACTGAGTACAAACGTGAATACATACGATATCTGGCCCATCTAGACGGGAAATTATATGACTCGGATTCGTACATCCAACTTGTCTTCCACCACTTTCAGGCGCATTGTACTCAGCAATCCTTCCAAGTTACTCTCCCGTTGAGATGATGGAACACAATGAAGGTGGCCGACAAACGTTGGGTTCATCACAACGGCGGAAACTGCTTTCTTGTCGGGAGCGAGGAATATGATACAGTCGGCCAGGACTGGATGAACCCTCAAGGTCAGGGCGCAATGCAAGGAAGCCTGAGCCAAAAGTGATCTGTCAGTCCCAAAGCAAAACCCAATCATTATCAGCGAGCCCCTATGGAATGGACATGGACCGTGGATGGAATTCCACCGCAGCGGCCACTGTAGGCAATGGAAGTTTACCTTAGTCGAAACGCCCGCTGCCTTCCTATGCAAGAGGTCATGGCTGATGCGATGCTGTGCTTTTTCTCGAGTCAGACCTAGGCCTGCACAGCACGTTTCTTTTCTCCACTGTCCTTCGTAATGCAGTACACTACTGCGCAGTATTCCCATAGTGTGCTGCTAGACGCAGAGATGCTACCTACATTGGGGCAAATACGCTCGGGCATGACAAGGAAACACTACCGCTGTGCTATCAGCCCTCAGGCAAACCTGAAGCCAACATGCGCAACAATTTCCACGCATACGGACAGCAAGCCCCAGCGGCTGGGCGACACAGACCCCGAAGGCGATGCCGGACACTCGGTGCTGTATACACTTTCACGATGGTGCATTCCCGGTAACTGAGGTATTGTATCCACGAATTCGGTACAAAGAATCCTGTCATATTACGGAGTACAATTCCTTATATCCTGATCCTGTCTCCGTAGAACTTCAACACAAACGGTAAAACACCCGATTCCAAACAAGCGGGCCCGTCCCGAATCTTCGAATCCCAGCAATTGCCATGTGGCTGACAAAATCCCCACAGCGGTCGCCCTTGGCAGCTTACCTCATCTTCGAGATTTCAACATCCCGCAACCTGGAATCCGACCATGACCGGGGTCGCCAGGGGCTCACCCGCAGGCACGCAATCAAACGCAGGTTGAAATTGCGATCATGGATCATGCGTGCTCGCCGATAGCCAGGTGACCTCCTCAATCCTTGCTAGCTCATGTTCTCGAAAATAGCTCCAAAGTATTGTCGAATGTCGAGCGGCCGACGACATGAGGATGCACCTCCAGGATGCGTTGCTATGGGTGTTCCGTTTGTTGTTCCGAAGACAACGAGGGCGCGAATGCTGCCACCATTGCCCTGTTGCCACCACGACCACGCCAGAATGTGCTTTCTCATCAGAGTGCAACATGGAATTCCAATGCTGGCAGGCAAGTTGCGTTGCGCTGTCAATGAACGCTTGCGGCCCGGGGACGCGCCACTGTATTGGGCACTGTGCATTCCGTGAAACTAGACAAGGAATTGGAGCCCGAATCGCCTCACCTCTGCCACCGGGCTATAAAAGGAGTGGCGCCGGCGAGTCATACTGGGGTAAAAAGCTGATGATGGTCTGCCTCAAGCATGGACGAATTGGTACAAAAAGTACGGCAGCATTGTCTCGAGAAAGCTGGCGTTTGAGCCAATCGAAAATCGCCAGGGGAGCTGCATCGTGAAATCGTGCAGCAATTGCATATGGCGATCTGGGATCAGGCCTGCATCTTTGGCAGCCCGACAGTCTCTCCTTTTTCCTGAGGCTGTCTCGTCTATCGTGTCTTGAGAACCAACCATAGGTCGATCTTGTTGCCACTCAAGCCTCTAGAAGAATCTTTCACATCAGGCATTGTCCATGTCCACCCCATTGGAGGCGGTGAGGCGCGCTTCTAATACCTGAGCCTCATCCAACACGCTCCAACACCTCAAATACAAGCGCCACTCGCCCCTGCGATGTATGTGGAGTTGCAGACACAGACTTCGATCGAGCCTTCTATGGAAGTTGAGGTGTCACCATATCGGCCGCTCCAGCCGGACCTTAGGTAGCAACGAACAGCCGCCCGAACCCATTTAGTTTCTGTTCCTCGTCGCAGAACCACCTCAGATTTGTTCTCTTTCCTAGGTACCTATACTAGAATCCCGTATCACGGCGGTCTTTGGGTTGTCGTGACTAGCCTTCATTCCAGAGCGTCTAACAAAATACTCTTGAGAATTGGAGTCCCTATCTCTTCTGCCGGGACAGCTACTACCCTGATATTCCAAGAAGCCGGGTTATGCATGCGGGCAGCAACATGATCAGTCATATCTCTAGGATATAAACGTACAGGTTGAGGACTCGAGGTCGGCTAGGCGGCATCGCCGTCGTCCACTTGCCGCCGCTGCCAAGCTCCTCCTGCCTAGACGACTCCAGGGACGAGGCTATGTACTCTCAAGCTCGCACGCACGCGATCCAACCGAGGTAAGGTAAGATGTAGATCCTGCAGGCTCTTGTTTCACACGCCTGCTAGAGAAAGTAGTGTACTCGCGCCCAGTTATGAACAGGTTCTTCGTACATACCTACCTGGGATATCTTGTTACCAGGCTTCTATGTTGCGCCTTGCAGTTGCACTCTTGCTACGGCCGTTTCCAAACTGCCAGAGCACGGCCAACCTAGGTGAACAACAAAAACTGGTTAACTACCTTCGAGATGTGAGCTCGACCGAGGATCGTATGTACATACATACCCAAAGATGATCCTTGTCCGTTCATGGCGGGCGGTGGACCCTGTCTCCTTCCGCCCGGCGGCGATCTCATCTCATGTCACGGCTGCAACGGACCGGTCAGGTGAGAGGAAAGAAGGCGGATACAACGACCACCTCTAGATGCATTATTAGGATCAGCAAACATCTCTAGTCTAGCAGCAGTTCTCTGGAAAGCTGTAAACGGCACTTCGTCTGTGTCGTTGAGTTTAGTGTAAGAGCTACCCCTTACAATTACTCATTTTGCTGGCCCGTATGGCGAGGGCATGTATTACGCGGGCCTTGCCTGTACAGGAAGTGAAGTCGTTTGGAATCCGTCATCGCAACATGTAGTTTGACTTCGGGTTTTGCCAAGCCGGCCTCGGGTTTTGAGAAATCCATGGCCTCGGCCCCTATTCCGGAGATCCCGGGCCTCCATAAGGTGGAACCGTCCCGTCTAATATTACTCCAAAGACTCGCCTTACCCCGACCCGGCGCAGCCGATGTAAGCTCAGGGACCAGTCGCAATCGGAGAGCACATGTATGAGGGGGCAAACAACGGATCACCAGGTCATGTGCCGGCCGGGCCGTGGTAGCCCACCTCGGCAGCCCGCCCTGGCCTGTCCTACTCGGCTTCCGAGCTTCTGCCCCGACCCGATGCCACGGGCCGAGGTAAAAAGAGCCAAACTTTTTCCGGGCCTTCCGCTTGACCTGCGCAGCAGCTGGCCATTGGGCAGCGTTTCGCACGACTTGTCTGGTAGCAAACGGGATATGGACGAAGCTCGAATCCGCGGAATGGCCTCGTTTTCCCTCACAAGACCAGTTCCGACGGCCCGCCCGTGCTGCCCCCTAGAGTTCGGCGATGCCCGAGAAACCAGGAAACGGAGATGGCATCTGACCTCTTCCTGTCGCCATACGCAAACATATATCGCCTGAATTGATTGCCCTCATTGATTGCGCAATAGACTACCCTGAACGCCGTGAAACCACATAGACGCGAACATAGACCTTGCGGAAGGACACCTAAACTCCGCCCCCGACCACGCAGGCACCTCGTGAAAAATTCAATGGTTGTATGCACAACGGAGGTATGCCTCAGCACAATCCGAATCACATCCCAAGGAATATCGAAATCTGCCGCAGCCGGAGTTAGCCAAACCACCCGTCTGCCTGCCTTGACCCAAGGACCGAGCAAATACCCGGGGCCACCCACCGCCATGAACCCACAACATAGGCTTATGTAGGGACTTAACCGTTCCCCTATCCTTGCGCACTTCCAGAATATGCCTGTTAAGCTGTCGTTGGGGGCGCGTGGTCGGTACCGATCGTGTCAGCGCGTCCGTCCTGACCAAGGTAGAAGTTTCTTCCAGGCAAAGGGAAGTTCTCACCCTGTCTTGTTGCGGTCGAGAATGGCGGGGAAGATCTGGTGCACGTAGGCGCAGGTGCTGCGGGTTTGGGAGACCGAGCTTAGCCTTCTTTTCCTTTTCCCAGTTCCAGATTTGCCGCGAAACGTACCATATCAGCAGGAGGATGACGAGCAGGAGGCTCTTGAAGTTGAATAGCGCCGCCTGAGGAAAGAAAGGGTGGGCGGATTAGCCGCGATGCGCCTAGCGGTTGATTTGATGGGGAGGAGGACTCGTCGTTCGTGAGACACATACCATGTTGACTGCTGTCTCAGGCGGACGGGTCTTTCGTTAGGAGGTTGATTGAGCCAGCGTAGCGATTGCAGCGACTGCGGGTTTGTGTAGGTTGGCGAGCTGTATCCGTACATTTAGGCCATCTCCACGGTTCGGTGTTGCCGATGTCGTAGCTTCGGAGCTTCCTGAAAAGACACATTTCCAGGATCAATGCGTTTTGCCAAGAGAAAATTGAGAAACACACCAGGGGGTGAGGCTAGCGGCTTGGGTGCATCCGTGCTGCTAGGAAACCCACAGTTATTGTGGATGCTGTCTCACCGTTGTTCGCAGTGCTTCACCTCGTCTCGAACATTTCCAAATAGTTGCATCAAGTACGGGTATCAACCACCCTTCTGGAAACACTTTATCCCCGACTTACCTTACCAAGGACGTACCTACCGTGAAACCCATACACCTTCATCGTCCATCCAAAACTACCTCTCTTGCCCAGCGGTTTTCAGACTCGATCACTGAGACTACAAGTCCATCTCCGATCCCAATAAGCACATCAGAACCGAGAAAGGAAAATGGAGCCTCGGGCTCGCGCCGGCAAAAATGTCGGCAAGATGAACTTTGGCCATGCCGAGCGTACGCTCCCTTCTCCCCGCCTCTCCACCTCCTCCATAAAACCACCCCCAACTTAACCTTCCCTCTGCAGTAGCGCAACTGCTCTACAGCCACGGCGACGCGCGGACGGCGCTGCCCGAGACGGTGCGGGTGCTGGACGAGATCCTGACCGACTTCATCCAGGGGGTGAGCTTCGAGGCGACGCGGGCGGCGCAACACGCGGGGCGGCAAAAGGTGAAATTTGAGGACTTTGAGTTTGCCATGCGCCGCAACCCGAGCTACATGGGCAAGATCCAGGAGGTGTTTGAGAAGAAGCGCGAGATCGAGGCGGCCCGCAAGAATTTTAGTATTGAGGATCAGCTCATGAAGGATGCTGATCGGGAGGAGAAGGCCGCTGAGAAGGAGCGCGAGAAGAGGGCTTCCAAGCGCGGAGGTGGTGGGGCGCGGAAGACGGATATGATGGTCGGCGAGGAGGATGTGGATTTGGATGGGGAGGAGCTGGAAGGGGAACGGGGGGATGGTGGGAAGAGGAAGTGAGGGTTTTGTTTGAGAATTTTTATTCGGAGGGGCAGTATGCCCTCATGGTGTTATCTACGCATGGCGATGGCGTTCCGGTAGGGTTACGGCTGGGTTTATGGGCGAACTTGCGGAACGGAGTTTGGGTCGCGGAGCGAGCATCACGGACTGGACTGAAGAAAGGCAGCTTTGCGTTAAGAGTCAGGCTTTTGTCGACGACCTCGCTATTGTCGCCGTCATCAGCATCCATCTAAGCCTTCTCATAGGCCACAACCTCCAGGATGCCTTCCTTCGCAATCCCGGGGACCTCCCCGTCGCCCAGCACCAAAGCCTGAATAGCGGCCTTGGTCAGCGGCCAAGGCACGGCAAACAGCCCGGTGTTGATCCGGCACATCCTCAGCTCGCTAATAGCGCTTGCTCCCGGCTTCTTTTCCTCCTCGGCAATCAGCCGCATGAGGTGCTTCATGGCCGGTCCCGTCGCCCGGAGGATATCACTGGGCGAGTCGGGCCGCCCCATGCCGCTGCCCCGGCTGGTGAAGAGGAAGCCAATGTAGTGCCCACGGCCTAGGGCACCGGCTGGCTGTGTTGGGACAAGCAATGCCGTGCCCAGCAGCTCGTCGGGGGTAGACTGAGCGCAGTGCGCCCGGTACACCCGAAACTCGGCCGGGTACCGCTCGCGGAAGGCCAGAGCGATGCCCACCCCCCAAGAGCCGAGGCCGTTGCAGGCGTGGATTAACACGCTGCCGGCTGGGGAGGCGAAGAGGTCGCCTACCTTCTCGGTGATGCGAATTCTTGTGATGTTGCGGATTCTTGTGATGCGGGTGAGAATAATGGGGTCAGGGCTCCCTGGGGTGGTTGTTAGGGCATTAACAGGGGCGGGAGCACTGGCGCTTACCTTTGCTTGCTCTTGGGTACGCGGCCCGTCATCCTCATGGAGAGAAGGTGCACGTTCGCGAGGCATTGTGAGCTTGGTTCTTTTGGTGTGAGGTTGCGGTTTGAGTGCTGTTCGTCTTTCGTATCGAAGTATCAAGATGTGATATACAGAGACTGCGAAGGGAGCAGGAACCCAGAACCCATTGAGATTAAATAGAACACATCTCGGACGTGGAGTTACATGGCCGAGAGACTCAACCTAGGAAACCCCGTCCTGTTCTAAAGTCATGTAATCTGTTGCAAATAAGGTATATATACCTGTGGGAAACTCAGCCCAGTTGTTTTTGCGAGAAGGAGAAATGATTGAGCGTAAGGCTCAGAGGACCTGGCTATGGATATCGGGCGGTGAGGGCGTTTGTCCAGTGCTAGTGAAGGCGCGTTTGTAGGGACAACAGAGCTCAAAGGCTCAAAGGGCTCATCCACCAACAATAACAAAGCTGAACATTCGAGGGCAGGCCTATTGCTCGACTTAACAACTGACTGCGAGACAACCCCAGGTCATACTGTTCCATAGCTGTGGAGGGCGTTACCCATGAGGGGCCTTGCGTGGGGTATGACCTTGACCTTGATATCCGTAGCATTACTGTGGTAGAGAGAAGACTGCTCTGCTGGACATCCTAGTTGAGACCTGGTACAATATCTCCGTACCTTTCGTGATGAGCATCAACGCACAGCTGCCCACAAGTCCGAGCAGCTGCAGCCCGTGACAGGTTGGTGATGCCAACACACTGTCGAGGGTTCAGATCTCTCAAGCAGCGCTCAAACTTGTCACAATTGATGCATGCATGAAGACGAATGAGGCCCAGTTAACAGTTGCGTTTGCTGGAAGTAGCAAAGACTCACATGACACTCAACCCCCCCTGGCCCAACCCCACTCTTTTCCCCAAATTCCAACCGTTTCTGTTGGAGAGCCGATCGTTGAATGACGCTACCAACATGCACCTCCTTCCCCAGCCATCAGTCTCCGTCTTCCCCGCTGTAGCATTCATGGCTCATATCCTCTAGATACTTCTTTCGGAAAAATAGGCCGAGACTTCACAGTATGCACACTGGATCGAGAGCGATATCGGTACTGGGATCCCAGCCATCCGACGGCGGGCCCTATCCGACAGCCTTGGCCCGTAGCCTCACAAACGGATGACGAACCGGTGGTTCTCAAGGCTTCCTACTGGCCCGGATGAGAGACTACACGTCTGCCGGGAATAACAAGCACATCAATCCCCCACTTCTGTGGTGTTCAGGCCTTTGGCTTGGATCATCACATACACCACACGTACGCTAGGGCTGGCTTGGACCTCTCTCACGGACATTCCCGGTCGACTCTTTACTCCTCCATGGATAATGGATCAGTTGAGGTTTTCTATTATTCTGGGAGAAATCTTTACATCGATTTTACTAGTTTGGTGTACCGGGAATAATACACAACCACCATGCCTTCGTTTCTGACTGTGCCGCAAACCCCGCGAGCAAAGACGAGATTTGAGGATAGTGATGATGATTCTATTGATGAGCTCCCCATGGAGGAGCTAGACGGCTACAAGTCCCCGTCACCATTATTGACCCCTCCCGTCCCGAGGTCACTCTCGGCCAGCCCAGCTTCCCAGTATGGGCGGCTATCACCATGTCCAAGGGCCTTGTCACCGGTGCCATACCAGAATCCACGGGCATGGAAGGCATCGTTTGCACAAAGCTTGCAGCAGATCTGGGGTAAAAATCGGGGTGTCATTTTGGTGGCCGTCTCACAGCTCTTTGGAGCCCTCATGAATCTGTCTGCGAGGCTGCTGGAGTTAGAGGCGGGGATGCACCCGTTCCAGATCCTCTTCGTACGCATGAGCTCAACGACGTTGCTATCTTGCCTGTACATGTGGTGGAACAAGGTCCCTCATTTCCCCTTGGGCCCTAAGGGAGTCCGATGGGTGTTAGTTTTGAGAGGCGTGACTGGGTTCGTACGTATAGACCGCTCCCTTTCACTCTACCACCGTCAACACCATCCACCATTTAGCTAACTTGCCATGAAACCGCAGTTCGGCATTTACGGGATGTGGTACTCCATGATGTACCTCCCGCTGGCCGAGGCCACAGTGATCACTTTTCTGGCCCCCAGCGTGGCAGGGTACATCTGCCATGTACTCCTCAAGGACCCGTACACACGTACAGAGCAGATTGCCTCGTTCATCGCCCTGGCGGGGGTAGTTCTTATCGCCAGACCAACTTCACTCTTCGGAAGCCAAGACAGCAACGACCACCAACCCGTCCCGCCAACTACCGTCCCGGCCTCCGCGAACCTCACCTCCCCCCATGTCCCAATGAGCCCCGAACCCACCCCGGCCCAGCGCCTCTCTGCAATCCTAGTCGCCCTGGTGGGTGTGCTGGGCGCCGCAGGGGCCTTCACGACGATCCGCATCATCGGGACGCGTGCGCACGCGCTCATCACGGTGAACTACTTTTCGGCGTGGAGCACGGTGGTGTCGACGGCGGCGCTGCTGCTGGGGCCGGCGCTGGGGATCGGCCAGCCGGGCGTCAGCTTCGCGGGCCTAATCCCGGAATCGGCCTACCACTGGCTGCTTCTGCTGGCGCTGGGCGCGTGCGGCTTCATCATGCAGTTCATGATGACGGCCGGCATCGGCGGGGACCGGGCCAAGTCGAACCGCGCCACGGCCATGGTGTACACGCACATGCTCTTTGCGGCGGGGTTTGATCGGTTTGTGTTTGGCCACCGGATGGGCGTGATCAGTTTGGTAGGTTGTGGGTTGGTTGTGGGCAGTGCGGTTTGGGCTGCGCTAGGGAAGAAGGAGGGTAAATCGGGAGGGGAAAGGGCGGATGTGGAAAGGGCTGTACGGCAGGGGGAAAGGGGGGAGGAAGGGACACCTATGCTGGTAGAGGAGGCGGGTGAAGAGGAGGACGGCGGGATGGAGCTGGAGAGGGTTAGGTAGGGACTCGGGATGTTGGACGACGGACTATACGGTATTGGCCTGGGTAAAGAATGTGCAGGAGTTTTGGAGTTTGAGATAATGAATGGGGGTTAAAAAGACAAGGCATATGAGAATGGAAGAGACAGGACAAACACTGGCTGGCGTCCTTTGTTGACCCGAGGGAGATAAACGGTATTGGAATTTTTACTGCATTGAGGGAAGGCATTCCATGGAGCAGGCAATCCCCGATACTGCGATTCGCATCTGTCAATACCGTAGGGGGAACATTGAGGAAGACAGGGAGAAAGGGGCGCATCACATCCCATCTACTCCGCGAATACAATTGGATAAAATGCCACAAGTTAGACATAGAATAGAAATAGCTGAAATGTTCTGCTATACCTACTTTTTGCTCTTTCCGAGTAGCAATTGATTAAGAGGCCGTGTAAGTGGCGCTCACCTCGGTAAAGGCCACACCGAGGCAGTGCACAGACCATCTAGTTCAATGAATCGCGTAGGTAAATTTGAGAGCTCCAAGGTCGCGTTCACCTTCTGGCCCAGCAATTTCCCCAGGCTGGCCGGTTTTTTTGACAATACAACTCCACCTCGAACCGATTGTGACGACTTAGTATCCGATCCAACCCAGCTCCATCGAGGCCAACCATGGTTCAAATCAGCGAGGTCCGCGGCAACAGTCGCGACAGTCGCACCGCCGCCCACACACACATCAAGGGTCTTGGTCTCAATGCGAATGGCATTGCCGAAAAGCAGGCTGCCGGCTTCGTTGGCCAGACATCGGCGCGCGAGGTAAGGAGTTGCAGAATCAGTTTGCACCAGATCGAGAGCTAACAGTGCATATCTGGTGCAGGCCTGCGGTGTCGTCGTCGATCTTATCAAATCGCACAAGATGGCTGGCCGGGGAGTGTTGCTAGCAGGGGGCCCAGGCACTGGCAAGACGGCACTGGCTCTCGCCATCAGCCAGGAACTTGGCACAAAGATCCCCTTTTGCCCCATCACGGGCAGCGAAATCTACTCGACCGAGGTGAAAAAAACCGAGGTACTGATGGAGAACTTCCGGAGAGCCATCGGCCTCAAGGTCCGCGAGACCAAGGATGTCTACGAAGGCGAAGTCACCGAGCTGACGCCCGAAGAAGCCGAGAACCCGTTGGGCGGCTACGGCAAGACCATCAGCACCCTTCTGATAGGGCTGAAGAGTGCGAGAGGGCAGAAGAAGCTACGGCTCGACCCCAGCATCTACGAGGCGATCCAGAAGGAGAGAGTTACCGTCGGCGACGTCATCTACATCGAAACCAACACGGGCGCCTGCAAGCGCGTGGGCCGGTCCGACGCCTACGCGACCGAGTTCGACCTCGAGGCTGAGGAGTACGTGCCCATCCCCAAGGGCGAGGTGCACAAGAAGAAGGAGATTGTGCAGGACGTGTCGCTGCACGACCTCGACGTGGCCAACGCCCGCCCCCAGGGCGGACAGGACATCATGTCCATGATGGGCCAGCTGATGAAGCCCAAGATGACCGAGATCACGGACAAGCTGCGTAGCGAAATCAACAAGGTCGTCAGCAAGTACATCAACCAGGGCGTGGCCGAACTTGTTCCAGGTGTGCTCTTTATCGATGAGGTATTCTTGTCTCAGACCGTTTGTGACGTGGGACTGGCGCGCTGACGTTGGTTTTTTTTTATTAGGCGCACATGCTCGACGTCGAGTGCTTTACCTATCTGAACAAGGCGCTGGAGTCGCCCATCTCTCCTATTGTTGTCCTTGCATCGAACCGGGGGATGGCCACTATTCGCGGGGCTGACGACCTGGTGGCTGCCCACGGCATCCCCCCCGATTTCCTGTCTCGCCTGCTGATCATCCCCACGCATCCGTACGAGCCCGACGAGATCAAGCGCATTGTGCGCATCCGGGCCAACACCGAGGGCGTCCACCTCACGGATGCGGCCATTGACAGGATTGCCGACCACGGCGTGCGCATCAGCCTTCGTTATTGCCTCCAACTGTTGGCCCCTGCGAGGTACGTTTCTTTTTTGTATCTGTCTCGGATGCCCGCAGCGGAATCTGGAGAAACTGTGTGTGGCTGACACGGAGAACAGTATCCTTTCCCGCGTCAATGGTCGCGCTATAATCGACGTCCAGGACGTCGCAGAGGCCGAGGACCTGTTTCTGGACGCCCGGAGGAGCGCCAATGTGCTAGCGAGCGAAGCCGGCCAGGGATTCATCTCATAACTCGGTCTGCCGGGTCTCGCACTATCCTCGGCTCGGGGGAAAACAGGGTTGGGGGCTCGGGACTAGTCACATCTCTGATATTTTGCTGGTATGATAGAACGAGGGAACGGAGCAGGTTGGGAAAAATAGCTTTGCAGGTCGGAGTTGGCGCGTGGTGCTTTATTTTTGTGTTTTTGTTGGGGGTCTCATTACATTGTCGGGCGCATCCCGAGGCGCTGGGTGGCGGACGGTTTGTGGCCTCTCATTCTCCAAAGACTGGCGATATCTGAGAATCCTCGCCGTCCCAACAGCAATCCTGACTCACACATTCCGCCCCCTTGAGGACAACAACAAGCCTCTGGCGGAAATGAATGGACAGTAAGAGCAGAGCAAAGTTGGAGTTTGCCTATGCCCGATTCGGCTGACATGGTTTTTGTCCCAGCATATTCCTCATTCCACAGTGGGCATTCTGGCAAATTCCTTTGACATTGTCATGGCTGAGAGGGGCTGGATTGAGGATTGACTGTTCCCCACTGCGAACGGAATTCTGCAAACGCTGGGACAAAGAAAGCTGGGACGCAATATCTTGTCAGCTACGGTGCATTCCCGAGACAACCAAAGGCCATCACTCTGTGCAGTCCGCTGGGCCGGCCTCCTGCGTGCCCGTCATAATAGCAACCATGGTTACCAGTGATAAGGTCATTCACGGTTGGCAGGGTCATTGTCTGCCCGGTGAATTAATGGGAGGATAACTCACAAAGGGGACAATCCAACCAGAAAGCCCAGCTCAGACATAATTATACGCGGAGGCGTTTTTGGAACAGACAATTTTTTGCCTCCCCTCCTTCCAAGCAAGACTCCCTTTTCCTTATTCATTCTCTGTGTCGTTAGAGAGAGACACACAGATCAGGGGGCCCAGTGAACTGGAACAGCCCCTCTCAGCCATCGCTGAGCTGTGTGGTTCTTGCTTTCTTCGTCTCTCAGGTCTCCGTTTGTTGTTGCTCTTACAACTGCACCATCTGCTCGACGTGATGAGGAGAGGAAAAAATGACAGAAGTGGTAGCTACTTCGTCGCAGCAGTCCCGGCATCATCCTGCGCTGGCCGGCCCCTTGAGCCGCCCATCCATCCCTACGAGATCGGCCGATGTGCTCTCGAGAAAGCACGGTTCCTCCTCCGATACCCCCTCGACAGTACCCCCTTTATCGTCTTCGTCTGCCCCGGCACCCCAACCCGAATCTCATCGGGAGTCGTCTATAAAGAGAAAGCGAGCTGCCTCCATCGACACCGAGGAGGCCAACCGCCCCAAGATCCAGAGCCTGACTCTCAGATCGCCGGCTAACGTTAGTCCGCGACCCTTTGACACCAGTGGGGTCCTGATTTGTCTCTGCACGCCCGAGCCAAAAGTCCCAAGGCCGCGAAACGGTATGCTTGCTTTTTTCTCGTAGTTTGTTAGCTTCAGGAGAGAATGTGTCATCCTTGTCTTTGCCTCTTCGTTGCTGTATTGCTGTTATTAGTCCTTGCTCTCTCTTCTTTGTATGGTTAGATGATGAGCCTGCTGTCAGGGCCACCGCTAACATGATGCGTTTCTGCCACTAGCCTTCATTCTATACCGCCAGCACCGTCAAGCCGGGGTAGTACAGCAGAACCCTGGTCTGGCCAACCCCGAGATCTCAAAGATCATTGGCGAGCTGTGGCGCGACGAACCGGAGGAGCACAAGATCCAGTGGAAACGGCTAGCCGAGGAGGAGAAGCAGCGGCATCAGCAGCAGTACCCAAATTACCGCTATCAGCCGCGGCGCGGGAACAAGGCAGGGGGCACGGCCTCGTCCACGCCCACTCCAGCACCGGGGGAGGATCCGAGCCGGTGTCCCAAATGCGGTGGGCGGTACATTGCCACCCCGCGGACACCGACGCCGTCAACGCCCTTCATGACACCCGCAGCTACCAAAGCATCTGCGCATTCGGCTTACAACCCCTCTTCCTCGGGGCGCAACTCGACTCCGTCGAAAGGGGACACGAGCAGAAGCAGCCGGCCGCCGCATGCGGGGGGTTCCTCCAGCGGAGTCAGCAGCGGCTTGTACGACATCAAGGAGAGCCACGAAGGCATGATGAGCGCCCCGGAGGCCAAGCGTCGGCGGTACAACGCCGCAGGCAGTTACCACAACTACCACGCCCTGCCGTCGCCGCCGCTCCCTTTTGGGTCCGGCCACCATGGGCGCCAATCCTCGGTTGGCGGACCCTCCAGCTCGTCAGGCTATGGTCTCCTTCCAGGCCCGTCCTCGATGCTGGCGCGCGCGAGCCCTGTCCCGATGCACCCGCCGCCGCCGCCTCCGCGCCCACCGCAGGGATTGCCGCAGTACGTGTCGTCCAGGGGTGGAGGCTTAGCCTCCGACTTTGACGAGTCGCTCCGTCTGCCGCCGCTGCAGACGCACCTGCCGACCTCTCCTGACAGCGAACCCAGCGCTGGCCCGGGACCGGGACCTGGGGGCGGCGGGGGAGCGCTAGGCATCTTGAACCCGCCTCCGACCATTCCGAATTCTTCGTACGGGGGTGGCCACCAGAGTCACCGTGAGGCAGCTGCCCAAGCCCAGGCACACGCGCGCAGCGTCGAGGCCATGGTCATGAGCATCCCCTACATCAACAAGCTGCGCGTGCTGGAGCGCATCAGCCCGCCGCTGGCGTCCGACTGGCCGCGGGGACCGATTATTGCTGTTGAGGGGCCAGATGCGAGGCTGCTGCGGCTGGTGGCGGGCGTGATTGAGCGGGCGCTGACGGCGGCGTCGGGTGATTGGGAGGTGCGGTGCTGGGAGGATGGGTCGTCATCAGCCCGGTCTTCCGTCGCTGGCACTGCCTGTGACGGCGGTGAGGACATGGCCGCCGTGACAGATGCTAAACAGCCCGCTTCCCGCCACGGCAGCCACGCCAGCATCACCACCACCATCACATCCACTACTGCCAACACCACCGCCCAAAACACTGCCCCAAACCCACTAGCAGCCTACCTGACGAGCATCACAGCCTGGCACGCCAAGTCGGCTGAAATAACCGCCTTTGTGGCGGCCACGACACCATCATCCTCAAGCACCCACCACCCGCGAACGACCTCCATTGCCTCCTCATCTTCCCTGTCGGGCTGCTCCTCCTTGGAACAACAACAACAACCACAACAACAACAGCCACCAACAACAGCAGCAACAGCAACAGGAACAGACCGCCATCCCCTCCTGTCCCAACCCACCCCTTCGACCGCAACAACAAACACAAACCCAACAGCTATTACTGGTACTGGTACTGGTACCGGTAATAATACTACTGGTACTGGTACTAGTGCTACTAAAAAACTGCCCATCGCCCTCCTCCCCTCAGGCTACGCCCTGACCCTGTCAGACCGTTCCGCCTGCTCAGTGCCCATCGCCGACGCCTATGCGCCGGTTGACCACTGGCAGTGGATGGCGACGCTGTGGCGGGGCGTGGTGGGCGCGGATTTGGTGGTTTATGTCCGGCCTGTGCGTACCAGCACTAGTGGTGGTCTCCCACTTCCTCATACAAATCCTAATACGAATGTACCCGCCGCCACCACCTCCAGTTCCGCAGTTGTTGGGGCTGGTGGTGGTGTTGGCAGTGGTGGTGCTGGTACTAGTATTGCGGGGGAGGATGTGACAGGGCCGGGATTGGGTTTGGGAATGGGATCTGGGGTGGAAGTCAAGAGCTCGGCGTTGATTGTTGTGCGGGTTGGGACTGGTGGTGGTGATAGGGTAGGGGGCGGATTGGATGAGAAGATGGAACGGAGGCTGGGGTTTGAGGTGGTTGAGTGGGTGCGTGCGGCAGCGTGGGAGGGGAGGAGGGAGGGGTTGGGGTTGGAGTATTAATATTGATTCTTGAGGGGGGTGGGTTGCTCGTTTAGAAGGGGGTGTTCAGGGACTTGGTTGGTTCGTCTCTCAATCTTCAATGTAGGTTAGTTACAAGTGGACGAATGGTGGTTGTTGGTTTCGAATCGGGTGTGGGCGGTTGCACAAAAGTGTTCTGGAGTATGAAGGCCGGGAAGATGCAGAAAAGGGGGTCAAAGTCACAGGATGTGTAATAATGGCTGATTGGGAGGTCGTGGACTTGGTTCTTCGTTTTCTGTTTGAGTGAAGTTACGTCGTCGGTGTATGATAGTACTTGGGTTCACCTTGGCTACTCGTAACTGAGGTTTGGTGTTTACTGGCTTGGGCTGGGTGTCAAAAGATTGGCGTGGTGTTTGGGCAAGGGGATATCTTTCAGACAGGCAAAGACGGGATACTAGTTCAGAGGTTGTGAAGAAATTGCACATCAGAAAAGGGACGGCACATGCGTATTTGGTGTGGTAGATTCGGTTGAGTCCGTACCTAGTTGAAGGCTGGCACCATACAACGACGTTGTATCTAATCCGTACAACAAACACATTCGTTTTCTAGGTTGGCCGTCGGGAACAGCCGGTGTTGTTTGAGGAAGCTTCGTTCAACCATCTCCTCTATCATACATGATTTCTTTTCCTTTTTTTTTTTTTCATCCAGAATCTCGGCTCCAAAGCAACATTAGCTTACAATTTCACTCATAGAGAACGCAATGTTGGTCCTGTTGCAATTCGTTCTCTCCTCGGCACTTCTAATATTGTACAGTACAATGGCTACATTCGTCGTCCGTAGATGGGCACCGGCACCTGAAGCGGGTCCGGGACGGTGCAGGTGGAACCCCCTGTCAGTCTTGGCGTAGCACTGCAGCTAATCGCGTCTCCTGCACCCAGACGCGACCCCGTTTGACGATTGACATTGACGACGTCTCCATCAACAACCGCACCTCAAGATTACCCACACCACCAAACGACCCGAGCATGACCTCCCATCGGTGACCAGCACCATGTCAGAGCTCGCGGTTGGGCAGAAAATCCAGCTGAGCGACGGCCGCAATGGCACGATCCGCTTCGTCGGGCAGACCAGCTTCGCCCAGGGCGACTGGGTCGGCATCGAGCTCGACGACGGCTCCGGCAAAAACGATGGCAGCGTGCAGGGCGAGCGCTACTTTGACTGCCCCATGGGCTATGGCATGTTTGTGCGACCGACAACCGTGACCGTGATCGCCCAACCGCCGCCTCCGCAACCCAAACCCGCCGCCGCCGCCAGAAGGCCTTCGTCGCGTCCCAGCAGCATGTTCTCGTCGACTTCTGCACGCGGCCCTACCCCATCCGACTCGGGTCTTATGAAGAGGATGAGCCAGAATGCGCCAAGCCCAAGTCCGGTGCCTAGGCAGTCACGCTCGCTCAGTGTCCGAGTGAGTATACAGTATCCCATCTTCAGCGCCAGCACACGACCGGTAGAAGCTTACCCCGAGTGTCCCTGCAGTCTCCTACAAAGTCTCCGACGAAACAGTTAGGCATCGCTCCGTCGAGTGCAGGCTCATCACGGACTGGCACCCCCTCCAATGCCAAACCCGGCGCGGGCGCGAGACCCCGTCCCTCCGTCTCAGGAGGCCGAGCCTCCATGGCACCGCCGCCAATGCCAGCAGCTAGACCTCCCCGACAGGTCTCAACTGCTTCTGCGCCTAGGGCCGGCGCCACAGCTACGAGGCCTGTAAGTGGTCGATTATCGTCGGCACCAGCAAGGCCAGGCCAACTCCGGCCGGCTAGCGGGAGGCATGGTTCCTCGGGCTCCTTGTCAGGCGTGGAGAATCCCAGGGCTCCGGGAAAACGCAGCAGTGGAAGCACTGATTCACCCCGGAGGAGCAGCGACGAGGAGATTCTCTCCCCGCAGCCTACCAGCCCTGTCCATCTCCGAACCGCGGCTCTAGAGAAACTAGCCGGTTCAACCCCAACGGCAACAGCAGCTGCTAGGTCGCCTGCGACAACTACCGCACCGTCACGCCCTTCTCTCAACGCCGCGGCAGCAAACAAGGAGATCGAAGACCTAAAAGCCAAGCTTCGCGTTCTGGAAAAGAAGAGGATTGAGGATCGTGAGAAACTCAATACCTTGGAGAAGGTCAAGGGGGAGCGCGACAAGTTTGAACGCATCATTCAAACGCTACAAATCAAGTACCAACCCCAGCAGCAGGAGATTGCCGACCTGAAGAGGCAGCTCAAAGAGGCCGAGACTCGTCTCTACAATGTCGAAGAGATCCAGGCCGAGCACGAGTCCGCTATGGAACTTGCCACGCTTGACCGCGAAATGGCTGAGGAGATGGCCGAGGTGTACAAGACCGAGCTTGATGCCCTCAAGCAGAAAACCGAAGAGTTGGAGCTCGAGGTGGAAATCCTTCGCGAAGAGAACGCCGAGCTCACCAAGGGTGTGTCGACCGAAGAGAGGTCCAGCGCCGGCTGGCTGCAACTAGAGAGAAACAACGAGCGCCTTCGCGAGGCACTCATCCGCCTGCGGGATCTGTCACAGGAGCAGGAAGAGGAGCTCAAGGACCAGATCAAGGGCCTGGAGGAGGACCTCCGCGAATTTGAAACCGTCAAGGAGCAGTACGCCACGTGCAAAGAAACCCTTACGCAGACGGAGGCCGCTGTCGAGGATCTTCGCGAGCAGTTGAACAACGCCCTCGGCGCAGAGGATCTGATTGAAAGTTTGACCGAGCAGACGATGAACCAGGCCGAGGAGATTAAGGAACTCAAAGCTGTCATCGACGATCTCGAGGCCCTGAAGGAAATCAACGACGAGCTCGAGGTCAACCATGTGCAGAATGAGAAGGAGCTGCAGGAAGAAATCGAGCTCAAGGACGCTGTCATTACCGAGCAGCTCCGGCAGGCAGCCCAGCAGAAGGAGACAATGGAGGACATGGAGTACACGCTGTCGAGATTCAGGCAGCTGGTTACCAGTCTGCAGAGCGACCTGGAAGACATGCGCGCCTCACATGCAGTCACCGAGAACGAGTCGGAGCAGCTCAACAGCCGATCCAGGGCCATGATGGATCTGAACTTGAAGCTGCAGCTCTCGGCCGCCAAGGCCCAGGTCAAGACGATCGATCTGGAACTGCGTCGCATGGAGGCCCAGGAGGCCGAACAGCACCTCGAGATCGTCAAGCTGTTCTTACCCGACACCTATCAGACCGACAGAGACTCGGTCCTCGCACTGCTGAGATTCAAGAGGTTGGCCTTCAAAGCGAACCTGCTCAACGGCTTTATCAAGGAGCGCGTCAATGGACAGCCGCACCCAGGCCACGAAGACGACGTGTTTGAGGGCTGCAGCGCCGTCGACAAGCTGACGTGGGTGTCTTGCATGTGCGACCGCTTTGTCAACTCCATCAGCCACTGCTCGCTCGAGCAGTTTGCCAAGTACGAAGGCGCTCTCTACGAGCTGGAGCCTGTCGAGAGGGCATTGAACGGCTGGATCGACGGTCTAAGGCGGGACGATCTGAAGGAGAAGCAGTGTGCTGCTGAGCTGCAGCGGACGATTGCCCTCATGACTCACCTTGGCGAGGTGCACATCTCCAACGACCTGCAGAGCTTTGCTGACGACATCCACATGCAAGCGTTGCTCATGCAGAGCCACCTGGAATCTGCTGCCGTCGCATTCACCACCACGAGGTCGATGGTGCAGAGAGTTGTACCGCCAAGCGAGGATGAGGATGAGCTCAGCCAATACTTCTCCAAGAAGGCCGAGGCCGTCGTCACGCAGACACGCAGCACAAAGGTCCTTGCTAGCAAAACGATCCGCGCTCTAGAGGATCTCAGGACACGATCCCTGTCACTCAGTCCTGAGACGATGGAGGTGTTTGAGCGCTGCCAGTCGGCAACAGCAGAGTTGGCCGACATGGCGCGGAGGATCGGCCTGGATCTCCACCAGCTCCTACACGAGGAGGGCAGGACCGAGCCATACACATATGCCGAGGTGCAGGCGTGCGTTCAAAAGACGGCCATGTCTGCCTTTGGCACAAACGAGACGGACCTCTTCTCGACTTACCTCAACAAGCTGCGCGCCGTGACCTCGCAGATCTCGGACCTTGCGGCCGTCAGCACCGACCTGGACCAGACGACGGAGTTTGAGCGCAGCCCGACCCCCTGGTTGCTCCGCAGCCAAGAACTGAAAGCGCTCAAGAACGTCCCCGTCGACACCGAAGCCGAGATCCGCCGCCTCAAGGACGACATCAACGACGCCCGCCGCGCCATCGCCCTCCGCGAAGAGGACCTCAGCACGGCGCAGGTCAAGATCGAGACGCTCGAATCGCGCATGCGTGACGCGCACGCCAAGGCTTCGCGCATTACCGAACTTGAAGCGCAGATTGCGGCAGCCAAGGAGCAGGCCGCGAATCTGTCAGATAACCTCAAGAAGCAGGACCGCGAGCTCAAAGCGCTCGAGCAGGACCGAGACAAGTGGAAGCAAGTCGCCAGCAACAGCCGGGTGGTTACCGCCGGCGACGCCGATGCCAGTACTGGCGAAGGGGCCCGGGCCAGCCGGGAACGCGCCGTCGCCACGGCGCGTGAAATGGATGCGCTCAAGAGCGAGATCGAGGCCCTGCAGGCCGCCGTGCGCTACCTGCGCGAGGACAACCGCCGCGCTAGACTGACGGAGCAGGCCAGCTACGCGTGGCTTGCGGAACCGCTGACGAAGAAGCCTTCGCCGGCTGAGCAGCGTCGCGCTATGGTTGCTGCGGAGAGTAAGGCTGTGTTGGGTGAGTTGGTCAATTTGGCGGCGAATGCAAGGGTTTTTGATTTGGAGGCCGTGGTGAAGGAGGAGAAGAAGGGGAGGTGGAAGCCCGCGAGGGAGACGCCGCAGTTTCATGCTGCGAGGCAGATGGAGGATTGGGTGGTGTGGAAGGGGTGGGCGGGGGAGGTGGTTAGGAAGGGAAGGGCGGTGGTGGCGGGTAGGTCTTCTGATGTGGTGAGGAATGGGAAGGAAGCTGCCAAGAGGAGGGCGGTGACGGCTAAGTTGCAGATCCGGCTGCCGGGGTTGGGGATGATGGGGGTGGATGGCAAGGTGACTGGCTCTGGTTCACACTGGGGCAGGGAGGTGCAGATTGTGGGCTCGAGGGAGTGGGAGAGTTTGCAAGGGCATGGGCAGTTGGTTGTTTGATGTCTGGTGTCTGAGGAAGAGATTGTGAGGGCAGAAGTGAAGTGTAGGCTTTGAGGATTATACCCCAGTAGAGTTAGAGAGGGGAGGATTGGTTAATGGAGCGTGTTTAGCAGGTCAGTCACTGGTGGGTGACTCTGTCTATTTTGATATGTTGGTATCATCTGCTGTCTTTTTGGCAACTATTTCATGCCGCCCGAATAACACCCCTACCCATTCCAACCTCATTTCCAGTCCCATCCCCTCCCATCTGCCCAACCACACCATCACTACCATCGCCGTTTATCCCCATTTTGGTCTCTCCAGCGCCATTCCATCCCTTCTCCACTTCTTGCTGCTGCCCCTGACCCTGACCCTGACCTTCCTCTCCATCTTGAAGCGGTGGTTCGGCCAGCCCATACCATACAACAACAGCAACGCCCAAAAGGCCGGTCACGCAGCTAAAGACAAAGCCCACGATCCCCTGGGCCGTGAACCTAACCATCCCATGGCAGTCAGCATACAAATACCATACAGAATATCATCCAAAATAAGAGAGAGGGGACACACCCAGCAGGCAACGGCCCAGGCGGCGCATTCTCCCCCGACAAATCCAAGAGATCGTCACCGTCCTTCCCGGCGGCATTGCCGCGCGTGGGCACGCCAGCGGCCACACACGCCGCAAGATGATCTGCCGGCAGCGTCCGAGTCCGTTTTTGTTGTATGATCTCGTGCGGCGCCTCGATGAATGTGGCTACTAGCCCGGAGGCGACGTGCCATTCTATGTGGCAGTGGAAGAGCCAGACGCCTGTCATCATCATGTCATGTCACATGTGTCAGCTGAGGTATCTAAACTATAGCTACTTTAAGGTAGGTAGGTACTTGAGGAAAAGAGAGAGAGTGTGTGTGTGTGGGCGGGTGATGTAATGTACCGGGATTATCAGCCCTAAACCGCAGGACAAGATGCCCATTCGGCCGGACGACGACCGTGTCGCGGCGCATGGGGGCCACGGTCGCACTGAGATTCTGCAGGTAGTAGTCTGAGATGAAATCGCCCGCGTCCTCGTCGGAGCGGAACACGGTCTGAAAGTGGTGGCCGTGCAAGTGGAACGGGTGCTTGCCTGCATCACGGTTGTTGACGACCACCTCAACGATCTGGTTCTTTTCGAGGACAAAGCTGGACGTGTAGGTCCCGTACACGGCCGGGTCGGTTGCGAGATTCAGGTTGTTGTCGCCTGTGGTTAATACTGTGTAGAGGGTTGGGATTTTGGGGGAGACGTAAGTTATGTTGTTGAAGAAGGCGCTGATTTTCATGTTAAGATTCATGGTAATTGACAGGACGGAGGGAAAGACAAGGACAGAAAGGGAACGTACTAGTTCGCCCCGTCGCCGAGGTTGTCCATGGCCACGTCCAGTGTCACGATGCGGTCCGGCTCGCCGAGTAGAGTCTGGTTGTCCCACGGCAGCAGGGTCGTGTCGTCGAGCGGGCTGAATGACGGGTCCGGCAGCACGGCCGGATCCGGAAGCGGCTTGCTCGCGTCGTACACCAGCCAGCCTGTGACGTTCCAGTTTAGGTCGTCAGGGAGGGTGTCAAACATGTCCTATGACACTATCAGCAGGGACCTTGGGCAATGACTTGGCCGTCAACTCACTGTATCCATGCTAGCCACAAACGGAAAATTCCCCTCCGTATCATCCCTCGCCGTAATGAGAAAGCTATACCTCTGCGCAGCAGCGAGATAAATCATGCCCGTCTCAGTCGGGTGCGTATATACGCCGTCAATCTCCACCACAGTCACATTATGCCCCTCAAACCAGACATACTGCCCGGCAAACGCGCCAATATTGACCATACGAAATAGATAGGTCCTGCCCGGCGTCACCGGAACTGTCAGGTTCTGCGTCTCGTTGAGCAGAGCCGATTTCGGCACGGGCTCGGCGCCCGTCGGGTTGGCCTTGCTGATAAACCACTTCAGCAATCCCGGCATCTGCTCGTGGTACCAGTCCGAGACAGACATGACTACTTCCTCATCGTACAGATCCCGGAACGGGGAGGCCGGGTCGTGGACGATAAGCGGTGCGCGCAGGCCGTCGGGATACTGCCCGTGCGTGTGGGAATGGTACCAGTATGTTCCTGGTTGGTCGATCTGTTGTCAGGGCCCAGGGGTTAGGTTAGGTACCTCACTTCCGGGAGAGGATATTAAGAATGATATGTGGCCTCACTGTGAAATTGTAGGTGAACCTCGACCCCGGCGGAATGGGGCATTGCGTCACGTAGACAGGGCCATCCATCTCATTAGTCCCATTCTGAAAAAGACCATGGAAATGGAGTGACGTTGACTGGTTGCCCAGAGAGTTCAGGACGTTGACGATGAGGCGGTCTCCGACGTCAACTCGGATGATGGGAAGAGGCCAGGCGCCGTTGATGCCGATGACGGGTCTGTCGGCCATGCCATCGGGATTGGCTGTCACCCAGGTGATGTTGAAGTCGTATGTGACGGTGGCGGCGTGGGATAGGGTCAGGTGGCCGAGCAGGCAGATCAAGGGGGTGATCGTGGCCCACCTGCAGCGGTGACGGCTGCCATGTTGACTTGAGTTCATAGTTTGTTAAGCGTGGTTGGATTATTGAGGCTTTGAGCTCAATTTGGAGTTTTGAGGCAGGGGGTGTAAGTGATTATCTTATCGATCGATCAGATAAATTTCCCCCTGAGGCCTTTTTGTCCGCTGCAGACAGAACAGGATAGATTGACGCACATCAAAAAATTCCATTTCCGCGTCAGGTAACATATCCTACCTCAGCTACCGAGCTAATAAAGAGGCACTCAGTTTCCGTGGAGCAGTGCCTGGGGCCCTGGGCATCTGGCCGCCGGCGGACGGAGCCGGGATTCGGCAAAAGACAAGCATTGGCCGCAGATGCTGGGAAGGCTTAATCAAACTTGGCTCCTCTTGGCAGATTTTGGCGAGGTGTGGGTTCTGCAATGGGGCATGATCCATTGAACATCCGATTCTTCCCCGCTACCTGAACAATCACCCACAACTTTGACAGTTCTGAAACGGTCTTTCCGGTTCGGAATCGTTGACGTACACTAGTATAGCGCTGCAGCACCACATCTCGGATACTTAGAGTCTCTAAGGTTCTACACGTGCCATTGATGCTGGAAAATACACTTTATCCCAGTTAGTAGATTCAAAGCACTGCGAAGAAGTAAAGGATAAGCTGTTATCGTTGATGGTTGACCAACGGGCACACAAAAGCTGTGGCTAGGTCCAAGCCCTTAGCCTGGAGTGAAAGTGTAAACTGTAAACCCTTCCGGACAATTCCCGTCGTACCCGCTCCATATCCCATCCAATCCCGATCCAATAATCCTGGGTATGTACAGTATCCCATGGACCCTTCCCGAGGTTCCGGCTCCGTTATCAGATCATCCCATATCTCCACATCAGATAATCTAGACACTTGCCCTCAACGCCATCCCAACACCCCCTCCCCTTCCCCTTCAGTCCTTCCCAGCCACCATTCCTCCCTCTCAAATCTCAACCGCCCAGTCCAGTCCCGAACCTACAAGATGTCACCCCCCGATGTCTTCTCCCTCCCCATATTCCTAGTCACCTTCCGCGAATCCCTCGAAACAGTCATCATCGTCTCCGTGCTTCTCGCCTTTCTCAAGCAGACCGTCTTTCCCCAAGACAGAACACTCTACAAAAAACTGGTCCGCCAGGTCTGGCTGGGCACCGGGGCCGGGTTTCTCCTGACGTTGCTCATCTCTGCCATCCTAATCGGCGTCTTCTACACAACCGGCGCCAGCAGCTGGGACGGGCCGGAGCTGAAATACGAGGGTGCTTTCTCCCTTGTGGCGGCTGTTATTATTTCCGTTGTGGGTGCGGCGCTGTTGAGGGTCGGGAGGATGAGGGAGAAATGGGCTGGGAAGTTGGCAAAGAGTATTAACGATTACAACAAGGACGGTGGTGGTGGTGGTGGTAATGGTGGGAAGGGAGCAATGATGATGATGTGGAGGCGGGTCAAAAGCTGGACAGAACGGTATTTCATGCTGGTTCTGCCCTTTGTCACCGTCCTCCGTGAGGGCATCGAGGCCATCGTCTTCATCGCGGGAGTGACCTTTTCCGCGCCCGCCACCGCCGTGCCGCTCGCCGCGGTTGTCGGGTTGGCGGTGGGTGCTATTGTGGGTTGGGTTTTGTACAAGTGAGTCTTCCCCCCGTTACTATCCACAGTGTAACGAGCCTGTCCACCTTGGAAATGGAATCAAACAGAGCGCTGACTTGACTCTCAGAGGCGGATCGTCAACCAAACTGCAGGTCTTCCTCGTCATCTCAACATGCCTGCTTTATCTCGTCGGGGCGGGGCTCTTCTCGCGCGCGGTGTGGTCCTTTGAGCAGCAGGCGTGGCAAGACATCATCGGCGGGGATGTCACCGAAACCGGGGACGGTCCGGGGTCGTATGACATTGACAAATCCGTTTGGCACGTCAACGTGAGTACTTCTGCTGCTTCCTAGCGGGTCCAATTCAATTCACAGACAGCAGAGCAATCTGACCATGCAACAGTGCTGCAACCCAAACATGAACGGCGGCGGCGGATGGGGCGTCTTGAACGCCATCTTTGGATGGACAAACTCGGCAACCTACGGCTCCGTCATTTCGTACAACCTGTACTGGCTGTTTGTTATCGTCGCCTTCGTGCTGATGAGATACCGCGAGGTACACGGCCGCTGGCCCTTGACCAAGGCGAAGGGCTCTCGCCGACAAGAGGATCATGAGGCTGGGAATCGTGCGAGCGGGGAGGACAAGGCGTCAGTCGGCAAGATGGTAGCGACAGAGGGAATAGCTCCGGTTGAGGTCTAAGGGCTGGCGCCGCTTCGAGTCGTCTACCAATGGCCATGCCTAGCTACACATGCCTTCCAAGGGTAGGCGTATTCCACTTACCCAATCCCGGTTCCCGCGGCTCTTCTCGGTCTTCGGCCGTCCAATCCCACCTGTCCGCCGTAAAGAGCTCCCTTGCCAGTCTGTCGACCCCCATGGCCCCTTCGAATTGCATACTCTGGTTCCCGGCCATGGCACGCGTGAAGCGAAACTCCCTTGGCTCGCCGCCGTCACTTGCCCCTCGCCGGCACCAAGACGCGGCTTCTCGGTCTTTGCCCCAAGCTGGCCTAGACACAGAAACTATGTTGGATGACAGCAGGGCTTGAATGCGGTCGAGGATGGGCAGAATACGGGTCCTCAGGCCGCAGTTGTGGTGGTTCGTGTCGACCTGGTAGCTGGGACACTGCCGGAGGGTTGCAATTATGTGAGGGATGCTCACTGTGGCATAGTCCTGAATGCTGTCCATCGACTTGGGCGAGAAGTCGACCAGAAACAGCAGGTTGCGGCTGATGAAAAACTTGACCATCTGTCCGAGCTGGTATGAGTCGCAGCTTGAGCTGGACCCGTAGCCCAGCGTGCACTGCTGCGTGCGGGACGAGTACAGCTGGATGAAATGTCGCTGGACTGAGGCGATGGTGTTTAGAATGCAGTCCCGGCGGTGTCGTAGTTCATCTTCTGGCAGGTTAACCAAGCTATTGTTCCACACTGGTTTAAGAAGCTAGAAATTGCTCACTTTCAAGGTCGTCCGGCAATTCCCACCACACGGCCTTGTTGGTGTCTTCCTCGCCAAATGCGCTCCACCTCCTCGAGCCGTACAGAATCAGCTCCCGGGTGGCGGCATGCATCTTCAGCGGTTGATCGAGCAGCCACGACACAAGGATCTTCTGCCTGAGTGTCTCTTCTGCCGCGGCAGTGAGAGCAGCTCCGCCGCCTTCCTTGGACAAGCTTGTCTGCGTGGCAGGCCACTTGTACTTTAGAGCGTTCAGATACCTGGACACGGCGGCGGTACACCCGAAGCGGTCGGCCAGGACAGCCAGGACGGCAAGATTGTGCATGGTCGGGGCTCTGGCCGTTGACTGCTTCCTGTGCAGGATGCGCAGCATGTCGGCAAAGACAGGCTCTAGGCCTGCCGACTGTGTGGCCTCGTCGTCCTCGCGGATCCTGACCACCGGGAGCTGCGTGACGTCTGCCTCGGACGGCTTCACGTTGTTCATGCTGAGCCGCTCGAAGGCAGCTTCTATTGACCTGGCCTCGGCAAACCTTGTGTCACTGAGCAGATTGTCGAAGTATTTGGAGTTTTGCTTGAGCACAGCGAGCTGAACCCGATAGCCACGCCGGACCCTGGGCTTAAGGGCTGGTAGTGTGCTAGCATCAGCAGCCTGCCGGCCTGGTCTAGACTTTGCGGCTCTCCTCGCCGCTCTGAGCGTCTCGTTGGACGTATCGAAGGTCACGTCGAGCACCAAGTCCCCGTCGGCTGCGATCTCAACCATGTCGAGCCCTGTGCCTGCGTCGGCGGGCGCACTGAGGGGTCCGGTTTGGTCGTCAGCAGAATCGCCCATGGCTTCTGCTGAGCACTTGAACTGTTCACTTTCGTCATGAAATTACGCCACCAGTCTCCGGGATCTGATAGCCACATATGTAACCATCAGTCACAAGCACTCGGCATGCTAAGAGCAGACGCGGATCACCCGTCGAATGCCCGGGTCATGGACAATGGACCAAAGATACATCGTATAGCCCTTCAGGCCGCAATTTGTTGTTTTCGTGAAAGGGGAAAGGACGAAGAGGTGCCAAGTGGCTTGGCAACTGCATCCACGGTGGAAGTACGGTGCGCCTTCGCACAGTACAATGACGTTAGCCGAGGCTACCCTATCAAAATCTGACAGGCCAAGGGCCGAGCCTTTTCTGCTGTCAAAGTGGCAGACGACAACAGAATAATCATTTTGGAGCTGATGGCAATGAAATAGGAAATAGCATATACTGCACGCATTGAGTTGCATCTCTTGATCAAAGTGTAATCAGCATTGGAGAATTTTTTCATGTCATTCAACGCCAAGAGAAGACAGCATCCATCCTCGCCAATGCCAAGACCGATGTACACTGCGGAGTATGTACGGAGTACATGGGTGACACCTAGGATGGGTGGGGGCCAGCGCATCATCCCATCTCGGCGGCCCAACAATTTCATTTTTGACCATCTCCTTGACAATCTTGTATCACCTCCGCTGCTTGAGCTGAGACTTGTACTCCAACCACCAACCAGCAGGTTCGTCCAGCTATGCCCATGGCCCGAGATTCTGCAATCGCTGGCCTGCTGGGTTTCGCTGGTCAAGGACTTGCACTCGACGATTTTTCCGGGAGCAACACATCTCGTCTCCCTTTCCAATGGCGCCTCTACGTCGTCGGTCTCTCGGGGTTGCTCTTGCAAGAGCCAGCCGTGCAAGCGCCCAATCGCCCCTTGACGTCTTCATGACCCGTGTCGCGACGTTCTTCCAACTCCATGGGCAGGCCCAGCGAAGGCATGTCTCCATGTCATCCCGCGCATTGCGATTCACAAGGCCGCGAGGCCAGCTGAGGGCTCCAGCCCAGCCGCCCGTCTCCGCAGCGCATCTCCACGACAGCCACCAGAGACAGCTCCCAAGTCACCGGCATGTCCGGCGGGGGTTCCACAATTACTTCGTCACCCACCTCCCCTCGTCCTCGCTCCACCCCGATTCCCGGTCATCCGCGGGGCCCGGCCACAAGCTCCCGCGCTCAGCCTCAATGCCGCACACCCCGGGCTCGGGCCGCGCGCCGGCCGCAGCGCCCCCGCACATGCCCGGCCGCGACCTGACGGTCGTGCGCATTCCCCTGCGAAGCGCCAAGCACCACTTCGGCGTGTCCGTATCGCGCGGCCAGCGGGTTTACAACGAAGACACGAACCAGGCCGGGACGATCGACATGCCCGCCTTTGCAAAACGCGTGCCCATCAGCCTCGTTCGCAGCCAGGCTTCGCAAACAAGGCAGTCTGGCGAGGGCACCAGCGCTGCCAGTGCCCTGGGGGACCCGCAGATCTTCTATTTTGGCGTGTTTGACGGCCACGGCGGCAGCGAGTGCAGCGAGTTCCTCCGCGACGAGCTGCACGGGTACATTGAAGAGGCCGCGGCCGAGTTTGAGCTGCAGAGCAGCCTGAGAAAGGACCACCGCGCCGCCGGAGCGACCGACTCCACCAGGGACCCCGACAGCAGGCAGCGGAGTGAGGGCCAGGGCCAATCCGACGGCGATCCCTCGACAGCGACAGCAAAGACGGGCATCTCCAAAGCCGCCAAGCTCGAATACGAGATTCTACAGGAATACAAGCGCACAGTAGGCGGCTACTTCAAGCGCTTCCGGCCGACCTACTTCTCCGTCCCCGCCGTATCGTCATCAACCTCTTCCACCCCCTCTCCCTCCTCGCAACACCAACAACTGCACTCCCCCGCAACCCTCGAATCAGTCCTAACCTACGCCTTCCTCCGCGCGGACCTCGATTTCATCACCGCCCAAGCGCGCAAACCCGACCCGGACGATCCCTACGTCTCCGACTTCCCCCTGAACCGTGACGAAATCCTCGGGCGGCCCCACGTAACCCCCTCGGGCGCGCACGGCATTGGCGGGCCGGCACGGTTTAAAGGCGGGTCCACAGCCTCCGTCGCACTGATCTCCACCCCTACCCCATCCCCCTTTTGGCATCCAGCCGCGCACAGCACGCTCGTCGTCGCCCACGTCGGCGACACACGCGTGCTGCTGTGCGAAACGGCCACGGGCTTGCCCCTGCCACTGACAAACGACCACCGGCCCAGTTCACCGGCCGAGTCCCGCCGGCTGACGAGGTATCTCTCCCAATCGCTCGTCACGGATTCCTTCGGCGAGGAACGCATCCAGGGATTGGCAAACAGCCGTGCCTTTGGCGACATGCAGAGTAAACGCATCGGGGTGTCTGCCGAGCCTGACGTTACACGGGTTGAGCTCCGCCCAGCGGAATTCTCATTTCTAGTGCTGGTCTCCGACGGCGTGAGCGGGACGTTGAGTGACCAGGAGATTGTGGACGTTGTTAAAGAAGCGGCGACGCCCGAGGAAGGTGCTCGGCATGTGGTGGAGTATGCCACGGAGGTTTCGGAGGATGGGGATAATGCGACTTGTTTGGTTGTCAGGTTGGGCGGGTGGGAGAGACGAAGTGAAGGTGGTGTGGGGAGCTTGGGGACCAAGGAGGTGAGGGATATGCGCCGTGCTGAGGCGCTTGATCCGAGGCGGAGGGGCAGGCGGTAACTTTGTCAGTTGAACTCATATGGATCTGCTTGGATTGGGGGTATGTTGGGTATTTTCTTGCGACGGATTTTGACGGATTTTATCTTGTTCCTCTGTTACTTTGCGATTGGTTCAGTTCATGCCATGATGATGGATGATACACGGGTATCTGGCGTTGATTTTTGAAGAGGTTGAAGGTTTGGCATTGCATGGCGGGAAGACGGGCGGGCGGGGACGCGGGTGGGCATAGAACGATCTTGTCTTGTATCATGTATATGGGTCGGCTTGGGAAGAGCGACACCCTCTGCAATCTGCATTGCATTGCATAGCATGGAAGATGGCGTTTTGGGCTGGATGGGTTAGACATGCATAGATGAGTTTCCGATTTGAAGAGGAGGGCATCGCTCGTATATAGGGGCTCAAAAATACAAATCTTGAATCAATTGACTGACGGGCGTCCGCCGTTCCATTGTCCATTGTCCGGAAATATGTAGTAGGTATCGCACTTATCAACAAACGTCAAAACTCCACCATCTCTGCGCCTTGCCCCATCCCCGTCCCCATCCCCAGACTTGCGCCTAGTACCTAGTACCTAGTACCGCTGATAATGCCCCCACGAAGGCGGCTGCTGGCCATGTGGCGGATACTGCTGCTGCTGCTGCGCGCTGTACCCCCCTTGCTGCTGATGATGATGATGGCCTCCACGGCCATACTGCTGATGTCCCTGTCCCTGCCCTTGCCCTTGCCAATGCTGCTGCTGAGCATACGACGCTGCGTGCCCCTGGCCTTGGCCCTGGTATCCCTGACCGTACCCGGACTGGGGCGGCGGCGGGGTAGGCTGTCCGTAGCTGGCCGCAAACCCGGATGATCCGGGCCTGCCTTGAGACGAGTGCTGCGGGGGATTGGCGCCGGCGCCGGCATAGTAACCCGCCGCCTGGCCGTGGCCGTATCCGTGCGGTTGCGCTGGGGCCGTGCTCGGGGCCGGCGGCGCCTCTCTTGATTCAAAATCCCTCGTCTTGATCTGCGACCAGAGTGATCCGGCAGGCTTGCCGTGCCCGCCGTCGCCTCCGTGGCCGCACCCTCCTCCTCCGCCTCCCGCTGCGGACCGGCTACCACCCCCACCACCGGAGAGGATGTGGTTCTGGTGGTTCTTGACCGACTCGGACGAGAGCAGCTGGTTCAGCCGGTCGCGGTGCGGGGTCTCCTGGGCCCACTTGCGCACTGTGTCAAACATCTGGCGCTGGATCTCGATGCGCTCGTCGCGCGCGGCAGGGTGGTGAAACGCGCGGAGCACGTCGTTGACGACTTCATCTACGGGGACGCCCGGGTTCTCCCAGGCGTAGATGACGCGGCTTGATTCAGATTTGGTGAGTTCAAGTACGAGTTGGGAGGAGGCTTGGGGGCGACTTACGGAACGACGTATTGCAGGATGGTGGCAGCTACACGGCCGGCGCACGAGTTGAGGATGTTGGTGAAATGGTCCTTGGACAGCATCGAGTGGGTGGGGTTATCGCAGCGTGGGTTAGTCCACGGCTCAAACTGCTGGTTCGCGCTGGTTTCGATCAGGCCGGAGGAGCCTTCCTTCAGCACTTGGGATACCTGGTTGATGATGGGCCGGACGAAGGGGGCTAGTAGGCCGAGAATAAAGGATGTCAATGTCTCGCTGATCTTTTCCAGTAGACTTTCCAGGCCGGGAATCTTGGCTATCATGTTGTGGATGGATCGGACAATCTTGTCGCGGAATTCGAGGATTGGGTAGATCTGCCCTGCCACTTTGACGGGATCGAAATTGGGGCTCATTCCTGGGACGACATTGACATTGCCAGCGGACCGAGCATTCTCTTGCTCCTGAGCTGCAGCCCTGGCTTTGAGGTCCTTGGCCTGCGAAGCGAAGCCGTCGCCGACACCGGGGAGCTGGGAAACCAGGGAGATGAAATCCAAGCCGCCGCTGCCCGAACCAAACCCTCGTTGACCGGAATAGCCGCTGTCGCCGGCCATGGTAGCCCGCTCGGCGTTGTTCAGCGCGACATTGATCTCATCCACCTCTGACTGGGTGAAATGGTCGTTGGCCTCGCTACTGCACGTTAGTGGGAATTCGAGGGCGTGTGGTTGTCTACTCACCCGAGGACAGAGTGCAAAAAATCGACCGCGCCAAAGGTTCCTATATCTTGTCAGAATTCTCGTGCATACCTTGGGGTGTTTGCCTTACATACCCGTGACGAGCGGATAGACCACCCTCCCATTCAAATGAATCTGAGTGGCACTCCCGCAGTGGGGAAAGACATTGTGGTATCCCAGCTCCAGCAGCGCCAGCTCACAATAGTTGCTGTGCGCGCTAAAGTCCTCCATGCAGTGCAGGGCCTGGCCAAGGCACCGCAGAGCCTCACATAAGTCGGCCTCCTTTCCGGATGTGCCGTGGGCGCCGCTGGTATAGACGCGGCCAAAGTGAATGCTGCGGGCAAAGCTCCAGCGCAGGTAGCCGGCACTGGTAGCCCAGCCGCCGCTCTCGTTGGCAATGTAGTTCTTCATGCCGGTGCGCGGATCGATCTCGAGCTCCCTAGGGTCTACTGGACCCCGCAGACGGGGGTCATATTTGCGCGCGTCCTGACCGTCCGCATAACCAAGGGGGTTGTCAATGTGCTCTTCCGGGCGATAGGCGCCCAGACGCTCCTCAGTGACCTCAAACTCCTCGGTCGCGTAGCCATTGGCCATGAAGGAGAGTACCCAAACCTGGAGACGGTCAGTGAGAACTTCTCAGGAACATGGGGTCAGACTCACTATGATCCTAATGGTGGCGGCGTTGACACCCTTGAGACTGCCGACGTCGACAGCCTGCGAATAGTCTCTGAGCCAGTTGCCAAAGTAGACGCGCGAGACCATCATGGACGTCCATTTCTTGCCGTAGAGAAATGTGAGCGTCTTGAGCATATCCTCAATGTCTATGGCGAAGACAGTGTGTTAACGGTACAGCTGAGGTATAGGGGAATGTCGGCTATACACACCTCCATGTCTCCAATTGTGACCCTCAACCTGGGCAATGGAGGGGATGTTGCCCGCACCAAACGCAGCAGCTTTGCCTGGAAGGAGGACGAGAAGCAGAGCAAGTACCAGGAGCGTACTTCCCCAGCCCATACTAAGGCCTGCCATGGCGGCAATGGCCTGGCCGATCGGTGTCAGGGTGTCGCGCCGCTGAGGGCGAATGGAGAACTCAGATCTTGACTGATGAAATTCTTATCAGTGGTTGCAAACAAAACGACTCCCTTTTTCACAGAGACAGCCGATTATAGCGTTCCAAGTAACTCCTTGCTGCACCGAGCAACTTGGATTTAAAAAGGATAGGATCAAGACTGTCAGCTAGCAAAGGCAACCTCTTATCAAGTGCTCGGGGCTGAGGTTGAGCCTGCTCTGAGTAAAGTCAAGTCACGGAGCTTATGCCAAGCATCTGAGTTGTTAAGCTCCACTGCTCCAGGGAGCTTTAGTTACGTCAGAAGGGAGGAAGGAAGGCGATGCCGTTTGCAACTTTGCACTGCAACACGTATTTCTAGGTATGTATCCGTACAATACGGCTATGTATCAAGCCGTCACAAAACAGCCAATTCCAGTACACGGTCAGAGTAAGAAGATGACATTGTTATGGGCCTTCGTTAGCCTCTTACTAAGGAAAACGAATTTGCTCGTCAAGCGCTTTGAGATACCGGATGTGTGTTGTTTCTGCGCTGCCGAAGTTCAGAAATCAGAACACACTCGAGCACAGGCGCGGGGGGTTGGCTGATAGACCCCGCATATGTACGGATACAGCGATATCTAGTACACGGTGGCCCCCTATTACTATGGCTAGTGCCTGCCACCCTGCTAATTGCATAGCCTTATAGCGACGCACAGTAAGGGGTAAACTTCCAGTTGAATTCAAGTTCAGATTCACTTCAACATGGGCACCTAGTGCTGATTTGCACCACGGTATCAGTTTTGCTAACGCCCAATCGTGCTTGTTTCTAACCTTACAGCTCACTTCAGTCAGTCCAATCGATCCTTCAAGTTCCCGATGGGTCCGGTTTACGTACCTAGTGTACCATGCTTGGCAACGGTACAGTACGGTACGTTGAGTAACGCCACTGTCAGCCGATGATCGCTTCTCGGCGGACGCGCAACCCGAGCTCTCTCGCGTCTGTGATTAGTGCAGCCCCTGAACTCTACCAGAAAAAAAAAGTCCACCCCTGATTAATCTTGCAAATGCGCCCGAAGCTTTACTTTTCCTCCTGACTTCCAGCTCATCAGTCGCTCCTTTCTGCTCTTTGCATCTTTCCCTCTGCCAAACCGCCCATACCCAACAAGTGTCGATTCCAGCGCATCCGGGACACCGTTAAACCATCGCAAGCTGTCCCGTTGGCTCCGTACAACGCCGCCACCATGCCCGGCCGGACGCTACCGACCTTCACCCTCGCAGAGGTCGAATCGCACAATTCAGACAAATCCTGCTTCGTGACCCTGGGGCGCAATGTCTACGACGTGACCGACTTCCTCGACTCGCACCCCGGCGGCGCCGACCTGGTGCTCGAGTACGCCGGCAAAGACATCACGGCCATCCTCAAGGACGAGTCGTCGCACGCGCATTCCGACGCCGCCTACGAGGTGCTCAGCGACTCTCTGGTCGGCTTCCTCGTGTCTTCACCCACCACCACCAACAGCAACAGCTCCAACTCCAAGCCCAACAACACCAACGCCAATGGCAATAGCAAACCGCCGATTCTAGAAGACGGCCTCGAGGCGGTGCAGGACGCCAACGGGAACTGGGTGCACCCTCGCACGGGCATGTCATGCGAGGAGGACCTGACCAAAGACACCGACATTGCGTCAGACTACAAGACGCACAAGTTCCTCGACCTCAGCCGGCCGCTGTTCCCCCAGGTCTGGTTCGGCAATTTCTCCAAGGAGTTCTACCTCGACCAGGTTCATCGGCCGCGCCACTACAAGGCCGGCGCTTCGGCCCCGCTCTTTGGAAACTTCCTTGAACCCTTGACAAAGACACCCTGGTGGGTGATTCCCATCGTCTGGCTGCCGCCGGTGGGGTATGGACTGTATCTGGCGAGTAAGGGGTTTAGCAGTCCGCTTGGGGAGGTGGGCTGTTTTGTGCTGGGGTTGTTTTTCTGGACGATTGCCGAGTATGGGCTGCATAGGTTTTTGTTTCATTTGGATTAGTGAGTTCCCCATCCCAACCTTTATCAATAGTCTGCCGATGCTGACAATGTTCACAGCTACCTCCCCGACAACCGCATCGGCATCACCCTCCACTTCACCCTACACGGCATCCATCACTACCTGCCCATGGACCGGTACCGGCTGGTGATGCCGCCGGTGCTGTTCGCCGCGCTGGCGGCGCCCTTCTGGAAGCTTGCGCACGCCGTCTTCTTCTGGGACTGGCACATTGCCACGGCCGTCTACTGCGGCGGCATCTTTGGCTACATTTGCTACGACCTGACGCACTACTTCCTCCACCACCAGAACCTCCCGCTGTGGTGGAAGCAGCTCAAGAAGTACCACCTCGAGCACCACTTTCTGGATTATGAGAACGGCTTTGGCGTCACCAGCCCCTTTTGGGACAAGGTCTTTGGCACTGAGATCAAGCCGAAGGATAAGAGGGTTTAAACATGTTTAATGATGGGGGTGATGTAGATTTGTATAACTTTGTAATGAGTCGACGTAAATAACATGGCAGCTCCACGCTGGTTGGTGTATGCGGTGTGGGACGGTCATGAGGAATTGCAGTGGTTTTGGCTCAGCTTCGATCCAGTTGAGGCAGAGCATATGGTCTCGGGAGCTATTCTCCTCTCAAAGGCTGATTCTGTATAGCGATGCTATTCAAGCAACCCTAATCCATAATGTGCAGTGTAACCTTGTCAGATGCTCAAGCGCTATGTCTGCGTTGAAAGATAATAGTGTCCGGCATCAAGTCCCTGCATCATGTAGCCAGCACGCAGATTCACATATGGTATATAGTGTGCTAAACATTCAACTGCTGTGCAGATATCTGCAAATAGGCCCTGCCGTGCAACGAACCAACGATACCTATATCCATAAATTCCCAACGATTCATTGTACGTTCCGTGTAAGACACCATAACCATTCCTTAGCGCCCCTGCATCGACATCCATCTCTCCATTCCCATATCAACACCCTCACCTTTCAAACTCCGTTATCCCCTCGCTTTACACCCTCCCAACTTATATCCAAACTTGAACTCAAAAGCCCAGCAACACCAAAACCCTTCTTGACCTCCCACCCTCCCGTTCAACAGCAAGCACATCACAAAGGTGCGTACTGGTTCAACAGACTCCACACACTATCATCCCCAAAACACCCCTCAAACTGAAACTGGCACGGCCCCTCAGCCAGCCCAAACCCTCCAAACTGCAATCCACTCCCACTCCCACGCTCATCTCCTCCCGTACCGGTACCTAAGCCATTGGCTGCCAGATTTTCCACTTGATGATGACTACCAAAAAAGCCACCCCCTTCTCCTGCCATATTATCCAAACTATGACCTTGCTGCTGATGTTGACCACCACCACCCCAACCTGAGCTGCTGCTGCCGCCCACCGTGACAAGATCGTTGTACAGCAGGTCACTCATGGCGTGAATAGGCTGCAGACTGGTCCAGTCAAAGTCGCTGGGCACGACGCTGTTCCAGTCTAAGGCTTCTATTCCTTGCCCTTGCTCTGCTGTCCCCGTCCCCTCGCCGTTGTTGTTGTCGTTGTTGTTGGGGCTGGTGGTGGTAGTTAGTGTGGTGGTGGTGGTGTGGGGAGATTCTGAGGAAAAGAAATCGGATGGTGTAGTCCCCGTGGCGCTGCAGGCTGAGGTGCTGCCGGTGGCTGAGTAATTGCTGTCTCGGTGGTGCTGCGCCTGCTGGTGATCAAGGGGGTTGGAGAAACCGCTCGTAGCGTTGCCGGTCGTCCTACTACCAGTACCAGTAGTAGTGAAAGATCCGCCGGTATCAGTCACGGCAGCCAAGGACTGAGTCGGAAAAGGGCTGTTGCCATTGCCATCGTTGCCGCCAGCCGGAGGGCTGCCAGCGGCAGACGACCACGAAGCCAGCGCGGCGCGGATGTTTGAGCCCGAGATGCCCAGCGACTTCTTCAGGCGCAGGTACATGGCATGCAGGACGCCCAGGGCAGCCTTGGCCAGGGCATTGGTGGCCGACATGGCCTCGAAGCGCTCGACGGCCCACTGGAAGTGCTGCAGCGCGCGGTGCACCAGGTCCGGGTGCTCCTTGGGGAAGAGGATGTAGATGGACGCCATGAGCACGATGGCGTCAAAGGAGCCGTAGAAGAGCGAGAATCTGGATAACGTCTCATCAGCGGTCCGTACCAAGGGAATCTGCCATGTGGGATCAAGGTAGATAAATACTTACGACCTATACATCTGCGGCTTGAGCGCCTGAAAGTACAGCCTCTGCACGTGCAGCATGTCCAGGCTGGCCTTGAGCGCCTCTGTGCGGCTCTTGGGGCGCGTAAAAATATACGGCCGGTGTAGCGCCATATACTCAAAGGTGTACAGCTGCGGGATAATGAGCCGAGTCAAGGGCAACCAGTGGCACTCGGCCAGATGGTCCCACTGCGTGTCCGGGTTTTCCAGCCTGAAGCAAGCCGGCAGTTGCTCAACAATCTCGAACAACTCGTTGTGGATCTTGTCGACGCGCCCAAAGTCCTTGGGACACGGCCCCTCCTTTTCCAGCTGGATGATCTCGTGCATGACGCCCATGAGACGGTGCGCCCAGAGCGCCTTGGTCAGCGGCGTGGGCGGGTCGTTCTCGCCCCGGGGCAGCACAGGCGTCCGGGAGCAGTCCTTGGGGTCCGGCGCGTCGACGGGCAGAGAAGGGGGTGTCATGTGGTAATCGATGGTCGTCGGGCGGCCAAGCACACACGCCATGTGCGCGTCCCACTGCGCGAGGCTCATCCATACCCTTCGCCGACGTTGAACCTCCCACTGGCACTCCAGCACGGCCTCGGCGGTGTCCCCGACCGGCTTGGGATCCAGCCTGTCGCGGTGCAGCCCAATCTCTTGGGCGTCCCTGATGGTCGCTCCAATGGCATGCCACTAACCAGGTCAGCCACTGCCCCCATCCATTCATAAACTGAGGAGATACTCACCGACTCAGTAACCATACCAATATACTTCAAAAACCCCGCCCTGACCCAGCCGGCCTGAATCGTCGTAAGCCCCATGCACCTCTTCCCAAGCAACGCCAGCACCTCCATGCCGACATCACTATACTCGACCGCTAAATCCGCAAACGTCATACCCCCCGCATACTTCAGCCCGGAAAGACACTTGTCATTCTCATCCGCAACCAACAGCGCCACCGCCAGGACCTGAAACACCAAGCCAGGAAACGCCCGCATCTCCTCGGGAAGGAGGCAAATCCTTGGCATGCCGTCGGCAGCATCCGACCTGTCGGATTTGACAACAGGCGACAGCACGTCAAAGGGCACGCGGTACCAAGCCGCGAGCTGCCGCTCAAAGGTGGCCTGGTCGAGCGTGTAGTACTGCCAGTTGAACTCGCGGAAGTAGACGGCGCTGAGCGCGTCAATGTAGTTCCGGGCTGGGAGTTGGCGGATGAGGGATTTGTAGCGCTGCTGTTCGCCTTGTCAATTTACGATTCACAATTCAAGAAGAAAAAGGGAGGGGCTTACACTAGCCACCGCAGCAGTAGCTACATCCGACCCAGACGCATGGGCCGACGGGGGCGCGAGCGCCGTGCTGAGGGGTTCCGAATCCGCATGGGCAGCATCGATGCGTGAGAGGAAGGTGAGCGTGTTAGACGACGACGAGGAGGTATACCCTAGAGTGGGTACGCTGGGCGTGGTCCTGTTCATGTTGGTGCTGGTGCTGCTAGCAACATGATGATGATGATGAACCGGGGGAGAGGCCGATGTCTCCGAGTCCCGCCCGGGGACGCTCTGTTGCTTTCCAGTGCCGTCCTGCTGCTGCTGCTGCTGCTGGCGGGCGGTTGGCGCGCCCGTGTCATACCTGCAGGCGCCCTGTTTGTTGCGCGAGACGCAGTTTGTGCAGGGCAGTTTGCGGTCGCACTGCAGAAACGGGTTAGTTACCTGACAGTTGGACATGCGAAAGGGGTGTGGGAGTGGCATGAATCCCATATCAGGAGGCCACTCAACACAGAATACACTACCTTCTGCTTTCTTCTATGGCACTCGGTGCACGAGATGACTATTCTCCTCCGCTTGCGGGGCGGCGGCCGGGCAGTATCCTCGGCAGCTTCACGGCCTGCGCCGGCAGAATGCGCCGAGTCCACGTCTACGCCGGCAGGCGGTGTGTCGTCGGAAGTCGTCGAAGACATTTGTCTCTCAAACAATGGCGCGATGCTATGAGATGAGGTCCAATATGAAAATGAGATACGCTCAGGAAAGAGAGCCTCTGAAGGAAGCGATACCACGCTGGATTCTGCTGTGCGACACGCCTCTCAGAACTGCCGTCCCCGCAATGTTCAATTCGTAGCAAGAAATGGCTGTCCTGCCTTGGAAGGAAGGACTGCTGCACGTTATGAATGTGAGGTTGCTTTGGTAAGCACTAAGCACCCTATCGAACTTCTACAGTAACCTTGACCCCAGGATCAGGTGGGGGTGCACTTCTGACAACGGTCCCTTGTCGCCAAGCGCCTTCCCGCCCCGTGGTCCCGGTTGGGCCGTTAACTCCGGGTCCGTGGCGCTCAATCTGCCCGAGCTACCCACGCAAATACCGGAGGTAGTACAATTCCGGCCGGTACTGTAAGGGTGGAATGCGCCATAGAGATACTAATGAATATATATCATGACGCTGGTAGAGCCTTGTCCGGTCCAGCAAGCTACCTTGAGGCTGGATTGCACGCATTGTGTCGCGCCAGAAAACGCCCCTAGGCAGTCCCTACCTAGAGATTCTGCCCTTCCCATCGCCCTGGAAACCCTAAGCAGATACCCGCGTAACGCTTTTGAGTACATAAATTTGAGTACATAAACCCACCATCCAAATTCCCATGATGCTTCACATATGGCAAGGTAGAAGAGTCGCAAGCAGTGTAAATCCCCTTTACCCCAGACGCGCCAGATACGCCTTCCACGCTTTTCTCCTGTACCGTTCCGCCTCCGAGGGCGGGTCGCCCGCCGAGATGATGCCGCGGCCCACAATGACAATGTCGGTTCCCAGTTCTTCAACCAGCTTGGTCGGCGTGTTGTATTGCTGGCCGAGTCCGTCGCCCTCAAGCTGGCCATTCCCCATTGGTTCCTCGCCGGGCGGCGGCAGCTTGCACCCGGGCGTCATGTGCACAAAATTGTCGTCGGGCGCCGCGTTGAGGCACTGCTGCGCCACGAAGCCCATGACAAAGCCCTTGTTCTCGCGCGCCGCCTCGACGCACGCCTGCGTGTACTGCGGGGTCATGAGGCAGCCCTTGGACGACATTTGCGCCAGGAGCAGCAGTCCACGGTCGGCGGGAGCTTCCTCAATGCCCGGGAACACGGCGTCGTCGCCGCCCGCCTGGTCGTGCGCTTTTGTCAGTCGCGGCGAGTCGGCCGGCTCAAACGACTGCTGCGTGACCGTCGTAATGGAGACGATGCTGTTTTTCCTGTCGTCCGCCGCCTGGCTGCTTCCACCGTCCTCCTTTTGCCGCTGGTCCTTCACCTCGAGCTTGCTGCCATCCCCAGCGGTCTCGTCGCCCTGTTCTTCGGCCTCGTCGAACTGGTCCGAGACCGGGGTGCCGACCGTGACCGATGTCTTGACCTCGTAGTGGATGCGCTCCTTCCACTTGGCCGCCGCCTCGGCCATGGCGCGCACCATGTCCTTGCCCGCGTCCATGTTGGCGTTGGTGATGTGCGCCCACTCTATTATGCGCGCCGTGCCGGCCGTGTACTGCATCTGCACCGTCTTGCCAATGTCGACAAACTTGCGGTCCTCAAAGATGAGGAAGCCGTGTTTCCTCGCCAGCGCCGCCAGCTTGGCGCCCGTGCCCGTCTGCGGATTGTAGTCCCACCCGGAAATCAGGTCGTAGTGCGTCTTGAGCACCACGATCGACGGCCCGACCTTGTCGGCGAGTGTCAGCAGCTCCCGTGCCGTCGTGACGTCGGCACTGAGACAGAGATTGGACGCCTTGACGTCCATCAGCCGGTAAAGGTACCGCGTGAGCGGGTGCGCTGCCGTCTTGGCTCGCTCGGCGAATGGCTGCGTCAGGGTTGGATGACGTTCCGCCATCTTTGCTGTGAGTGGTGGTGACGTCTCGCGTGATGAACCCTTGGGGAAGGAGTTTGGCCAGGTCGAGTCAATGGGAAGTGAAGAAATCCAAGATTGCCCCAGACTCAATGGCAGTCGTGACTGCTGATATACCTCTGTCGGCTCTGCCCCAATGGACTATCTATATGCAAGGGCGCCCCGAAGCGACGGTGTGTTGGCGGCTAGCGACGCCACGACAAGTCTTGTTATTGTGGCGTCTGTCAGGAGACGGCGGCGAAGCAATCCAGACCGGCGGGGGTCCAGTCGAGCGATGTATTGCGTTCGCTGTCGTTGGTTTCACGCCCTCGTAGAAAGCTGGGAACTCGGCTCGAATGCCCGACGCTGTTGTCGAGCCACGAAAGGGCGTCGTCGGAAGAGGGAGGCGGGAAGGGGCCTTTGGCTAACTAGGGAGCGTGCGTGTTGGAGTTTGGAGGCAAGCGGGTCCAGGACAGCACCGACGCACGATGCACGTCGGATGCGGAGTTTGATGACCCCGCAGGCAGAGAGGCGTCTTCGAAAAACAAACAAAGATGAGCGGAGGCTTTCGAGCTGAAAAGGGGGCCCTTTATTAACGCTCAAAAACCTTCGATTTGGTACGCTATGTGCAGCCGCGGATCCGATTCCAGAGTCCGAATCCGACTTCGTTAGTGACCCGCAGCGAACTTCAAATTGCCAGGGGTATTATCGCACTGAAATAAAGTCAAATTGAGGTGGTTAGGGCATCAGCTTGCAAGAAAGGGCTGTTACCTTATCTCAGGAAGGCACCAACGCATGCGGCCGCCTAACCGAATGGGACAGTGGGACGATGCAAGCACAACAGCGCCCTGTCCAGTTCCCCAGTCGGCACACGATCCGCTAGCAGCCATCCTTGTTAGTGCAGGGGCCTAGAGGCCTAGAACCGGTGGACGTTGGTCCTGGTTGAGCTGGATGTCTCATGTCTACCTACTCTGCACCGCCTCAGCTCGGAGCTCTCTCCGACTTTACACTCCGAATCATCGCAGGGTTCCGAGTGGTTTCTGCTTTCAGTTACACTCCATAAGAATGATACCTAGCTACTAGTAGTTCAGGACCCGGGCCTCAAGGTCAGTAAATATACACGAAGCCGAGCTCTGGAGGCTTCCGGCGGCTTGGTATCTCTATTAGTCTATTTGGGATCTACGAACTAATACCTTTACGGCAGTCGTAGCTAGAATTGAACCGCCTCATCGCCGTAGCATCCCTTTCGGACTTCCAAGGAAGACGAAACCGCAATGGCGAGCGCGTCGCTGGCTTCAGGATCGTCACTATCCTCATCATCCTCACAAAATATGAATCCTCCGCCGCGCCCAGACTCGTCGGCCAGTTCAGCAGGCAAACTCTCCAACTCTCTAACCATTACGTCGGGACAAGCGTTCTCCTGAAAGTGTTCAAAGTCGAGTAGTTTCACACCTTCTTCCGTGACCAAGAAGTTGTATCGGTTCACATCCCCATGTATTAGTCCCAACGCGTGAAGCTTCCCCAGTGCGGCCTCGCACATGTCCAGATCCGCCAGAGAAGCGGAGCGTCCCTCGATTTTTTCCAGCAAGAACCCCATGACACGTCCATTCTCATGGACATGGCCGAGAAAGCGCGGAGCCAGTCCATGACCTTCGAGTAGTTGATACGCTCTTGTTTCCTGCTTGATGCGAGGCACCTCCCATTCAAAACGGGCTATCTTGGCGATCACGGTTGTCTCTGGTGACGGGGGCATTATTGAGGCGTTTGAATGTAGTAGGACGGCTTCGAACACCGTTGGCGTGAGCTGCTTGGTGCTCTGCAATTGAAGGCAATCAATGCTAGCATGATGCCACTGACACTCAACGCCGGCGAGTGGTCTGGTCATCAGGAGGGATTTCAAGTCGCCGCTGAGCTTATCCCGTGATATGTAGGCCACGGTCCATTCCTGGTCGTAAGGAAGATCGGACAACGACTGGAGCGGAAATGAAAGTGTGTCTCGATCAAAGGTTCCGGGAGCGATGATGAGGTATTTGACTTGATCTCCGATTCGCACTCGGTACTCGCTTTCAAAGAGGTTGTCATTGTCCACCTCCATGGACAGGATAGTTGGCTTCGTGTTATCAACACGAACGCCAGGCATCGTCGCCATTAAACTAGATGATAGGCTGTTAGCAGATGCACCCGAAGAAAGGCAAAAATCATGGAGATGATGAGATTTGTACAGTTTGCTAACTTTGCTTCGAGGTTCATACTCACTTTTCTTTGCACTTGCTGTGCTAATGCCTTCTTAAGTCCTTTCTCAAGTACAAGATGATAAAATAGATTTTCAATGGAACTTTGCAGTCGACTTGCCGGTGCAAAAGAGCTGAGTTGCGCTTTATGAACAAGATTGATTGGTTCAGATATCGAGGGCAAAGTTGCGAACACACTCGACTTTCTACATGCGCCTTCCTTTCCAGAATTCGAAAGACGCAACCATATCTCTTCAGCACCACTTGGCGGCCAAAACTGCTTCTTCGACTCGATCTTTCTCTCTCTTGAATTTTTACTTTAGCACAAATTTGCCCTACCTTCCCCAAGTTTTCCGATAGCGAAGATGTATCATTAACTTCGCTTCCCACAGCAGTCGCTTGAATTTGAGTTAGTATCGGAATTCGGAATATTGGGCGATGGAGTACCGTAAGTAAAATGCAGTCATCCATCCATCCCCCAGATATGAGCTAACCCTTGGTGTCTTATTAGTCGAAGATGTGCACTTCGGAGTATATCGTATACACTTGCGGCTGCAGGAGGGAGATGGAGTTCATCCAGTGCCCTCGGCGACAAGGAACCAACGTCAAGTGTGCACGACTTCGCCATCGAGAACGCAGAGTTTCGACTAACTACTGTTCGAGGGATCTGGTACGGCCAGACGCCGAGGTGAAATACATGAACCGAATGGGAGAGGTCGTAGAAGAACCCCAAGCGGAGGAGCCTGAAGCGGAGGAGCCGGTAGTTCAGGAGCCAGCAGCGCAAAACTAAAGCAGAGCCTGGCAACCGTGAAGTGGGATGCCATGGTGAACTACACATTGGGAGGAGGGCTGGGTATCCGTTTCTGCCTACTTCCTTTGGGCTTTTCAACATGGAGCAGAAGATGAAGGACGGCCGGTGGACGAAGGTCTAGGTAGACCTGTTTTTGCTCAGACAAATCATAAGAGTACAGCCTAATAATAGCGCTAAACTCGCGAACAATTTCCCATCGTTTTGTCATTCTCTGTCCTTAAAGAAGCTTCCGCGCCAGGCGAACGCCGGCAACTCGGGTGGCCGACGTTTACCTCCGCCACTAGATTCCCACAAGAGTTGTGCCTGTTTGCACCATCGAAAGTGTCCCAGAAGTCCATCTCGGGCATATGACTTGTTGCGAGCCTCGTAAGACCAATCCTCGCCCCAGGAGCCGATGATGCGCTTTTCGAGAGCAAGTTGACACCCGGCACAGCATATTCCATTCTCCACCTTGCCGGTTGATTTATCATAATAGGCAAGTTCGCACGCCGCCGTGTATCTGAGTATTGAACTCCGACGGTCCCAGTTCGTTTCTTGTTCCTGTGCTGGTGTGTGCAGCTGTTGTCCGAAAAGCAGCCTGGCTTGATGGGCGGAAACGACCGTGGTGCGGGATTTGCGTACAGATTCGAGCACACACCCCGAGTCCACCCAGTATATTCCTGGCAAAGTCTTGAATGACTTCAATTGGGCTAACTGGCCCTTTCTCAAGTGAAATGTCTTGCGGACAGAGGCGAGACTTTGCACTTCTAGTTCGGGAGCCTTTTCGAGACACGCAAAGCAGCATCGAGTCCACGTCAGGAGTGACATGAAGCCGGCAAATTCTCCGCAAAGAGCACAATTCTTCTTGCACAGTGCATCGTAGAAGTCGGAGAGAGAAATGCCGCTAGCAAGTTGTGTCCGTAAAAGCGCGCAGAAAAGGTTCAGGCCATACGAGACCACCAGCTGGTATTGATTGAGAGCGTCCACCGTCTCTCTCGCCCTGATATTCACTTGACGGAGGTTGAATAGCGATCGCATGTCGAGACGTAGCCATACGTCATGCAAGAGCTCGAGAGGTAACCGATCGAGAAAGCCGAGTCCCGTGGTAGGGGTACGCTGGAAGGGTGTCGCGATCGAGGGACGAATGCCGACGTGTACCTTACGCGGGAACCAAAGCATGCCACGACTATAGTCTTCGCAATGGTAGCCGACGGTTCGAACAATGGCCTCAGCCTCCTCGTTGCGAAAATAGCACTCAGTGGCAGAGAGATATCCGGGAGGCATAGTGGGAGCCATTTTAGTGTCTATTGGCTGGGCTGAATGATGGAATGGTGAAAATCACCTGGGGTCATTGTCGAGTGACACACTTGGCGTCTTGGACGATGTTGCGCGTGGGAGGGTTTATAACGGCCCATGTCATGTTTGGCCGGCGCGTCTCGTCGAACTCGCGAGAAAAGGCCGACTCCAGATAATCCTTCTTGAAGCCGATCCAAAGTCTTGCGGACTATGCTGATGTAAGGAACGCGAAGGCCGAGGTATTCCATTCGAAGTCAAAGACTCAAAGGCGCACTTAACACTAAGTTGCCGTTTACGGTGTAAGTGCAACCGCTGCTCAAACTGCCAAGAGCTCATAACGCGCCAAGTTTTCCCAAAACGCGCCCCACCACAGTAAAAGTACAAAGTTGATTGATAAGGCTAGCTGATAACGTTGGAGCCACAACCGGACCCGGTTGCATGCCGGTCTCGTCATCGCATCGCCTTTTGTCCACCCCGGGATTCCGAGGACGGTTCATCTCAAGACTCTCTAGCCTATTCAACGACGACTCCATCAGCCTCATCGGACGTCAAGCACAGGACTCAGCATCCTTTTTCACGGGACTTTGATTCCACAGTTGTGGATCTGGCAGGAGCTATCGCATCCTTGATCTCAACACCTTCCGGAACGCTCGGCTTCGCAACACACCGGCTCTTCAAGAGAGGCAGAAAATTCATCAGCCTGTCCATGATTGACAAAAAGACACATCGTCATGGCTGAAGCAAAGAACCGGCGCCAGAAGCATCTGGGGGATAAATCTGCGCAAAGCTCCAGCGGCAATGGAAGTGCCCTTATCAACGACGTCAGAGACTCTGCCGAAGACGAGCCCAAGGAGAACATTTTTCTGCTGTGGCCCAACATCATAGGTACGAACCCCTATTCCAACAAAAAGCTTCCAATTACCGCATGCTGACCGTATGTCTGCCCTCTCGCAGGCTACTCGCGCATCGTGCTGGCCGTGGCCTCGCTCTACTACATGCCGCTGCACCCGCGGACGTGCTCGCTGCTGTACAGCGTGTCCTGCTTGCTGGACGCGCTCGACGGGTACGCGGCGCGCTACTTTGAACAGTCGACGCGCTTCGGCGCCGTGCTCGACATGGTGACGGACCGGTGCACAACAGCGTGCCTGCTCGTTTTCCTGTCGTCGGCCTTCCCCCGCTGGGCCATCGTGTTCCAGGGCCTCATCTCGCTCGACCTAGCCAGCCATTACATGCACATGTACGCCACGCTGGCCATGGGCGGCGCCGAACAGAGCCACAAGAACGTCGACAAGTCGCGGAGCAGGATTTTGTCGCTGTACTACACCAATAAGGTCGGTTTATTATCTCTCAATTTCCCGCTTTAATTTTCCACACGCTAATCAATTCCTACAGAACGTGCTATTCATAGCCTGCGCGCTGAACGAGGCCTTCTTCATCGCGCTGTACCTGCTCTCCTTCTCCTCCCCGCTCCTGTCACCTTCGCTGCTGAAGCAGGTGCCGCCCGACGCGGCGAGTGCCATCCACCAGGGCGCCGAGGTCGACTCGTCGCTTCTCAAGCAGATCTTCACCAACCCGTACAGCGCGGGCGCGCTCGAGCTGGCCCGCGCAAACAAGATGGACAGCTTCTGGCCCTGGGTCCTTGCCGGCGTCAGCTTCCCCGTCATGGCCCTCAAGCAGATTATCAACGTGGTCCAGCTCGTCAAGGCCAGCAAGTGGCTTGCCGAGGGGGATGTGAGGGCGCGGACGGCTCAGGGGCTGCCTCGTCGGCGAAAGAGGAATTAATACCTAGATTTTGATTTTGATGGCGGTGTATGGGTATGTATGGTCCCTGGAATACGGGATTGGCAGCTTCCTTCCGACGTTCGGTATCCGAGTTGTTGTAAGTTATTGAGGATTTGACATCGGGGTGGGTGGTTGTTATCTCTATTTATTTTGCATGACCTCTACTAGGGGTTCACTTATCGGCGTTTTTGTCGGGTCAGGGGTATACGCAGCATCAGTACAGGAGGGACCTTGTGGCAAAGAAATGGGATTGCTGGGAAGAGGCAGGCTGCTTATACAGCTTGCTGGACCCTCCTTAGATCGTTTGTACATACATAACATATAATTTCTTCGTAGATTTGTTCACTGTTTCAATGGTTTGTGGCTGAGCATCACTCGAACCTGTGGACGTTTCTCTGCCAGTTCCCGCATCCCCCGCTGAGATACAATGCAGGGTTCGTACCGCATGTTGTGTGAGGGCGGAGCTGACATGTGAAGGAGGCTGAAGAGCCACAAAAAGCCCCTGTCCCGCACGAACTGTGGCTTGGGTTTCGGGTACGCACTCCGTAGTGGACCGTCAACCACAACCCCACATTCAACCTCGATGCTTTTGTTCCTGCCACTCCCCGCAATTTCCTCCCCTTTCGCACAGCGAAACCACTACCACCATCCAGCCAAACCAACCATGTCCCATCCGCGGGTAGAAGAAGTCTCGGACAGCGACGTCGACATGTCCGACCCCTCGGAGGGCGACATTGACGACTTTGTCGACACGGACATTATGCGAGCGCGCGCAACCACCTCCACCTCTAAACCTCCTGCTAGTACACAACCCAGCGCCCAGCCTAGATCCCCTCCCCCAAGGGCTGCCCAACAACCTCGAGGCTACCCCCAAATGCACACTACGACCGACGACAGCGCCTACAAGCGCTACCAGTGCCTCTACCCAGTCTACTTCGACGCCTCCCGCACGCGCGCCGAGGGTCGCCGCGTGCCTTTGTCTCTGGCAGTACACAACCCTCTCGCAACCGAAATCGTGCACGCCTGCGCCAATTTGCGTCTGCAAACCGTCCTGGAAGCCGGCAAGCTGCACCCCAAGGACTGGGCCAACCCGGGGCGGGTGCGCGTCGACCTGCACAACCACGCCCATCCTCCGCAAGTCAGTATAAAGAATAAACACCACCTGTACATCCTCGTCGCCAAACACCTCCGCGCACATCCCACGACGGACTCCTCCCCGGCCCTGCGCGTGGTGGTGCGCGGTGCCCCGCCGCCTCCGCCGCAGCTGGGTAATGGAGAGAAGTGGCCGCGTCCCGCGGTGCCAAGGGGCTGGAAGATGGGCGAGTTGTTGCCGTACTATAGTCCGGCTATGACGGGTGGTGGGGTGAGTGAGAACTTTTTGAAGGATATGATGAAGGAGATGGGCGCGGCGGGCGGTGGTGGGGCGGACATGGCGAGTTTGTTGTCCATGGCCGGGGCAGGGGCCGGGGGCAGTGGCATTGGAGCCGGGGCAGGTGGAAGTGGGAGTGGGAGTGGAGGGAAGAAGGAGAAGAAAGGGAAGGGGAGGTAGTTTGTATAGAAGAGGGTATGGTAACCTACCTAGGCGGTGGTGTGAAATCGGCATATAGCATGAGCTGGAATGTTTGGGCGGCATGAGATGGTTCAATGCCAAAGACAGCAGACGATACCAAAATACCAAAATAGACCCCGATACACGCCGGTGACCGACTGCTGGACGCGCTCCATTAACCAATCCTCTCTCTACTAACTCTATTGGGGTTAATCCTTAAACCTACAATTCATTTTCTACTCTCTTACAGTCTCTCCTCGGACATTAGACACCAAAGGTGATAACTGACATTAGAAGAAGAGAGAATCCTGGTTTATGTCTGTACCTGCTCACGCCTGTACAAGCATACTTCATAGATACTACTCAGATACACTGTCTTGTCAATTGTCTGACCTATCCATGATTGTACTTAAAAACTTCGCATGTGCTCTTCCCTACGCGGCACTGCACTCAACCTGCATGTCCTTGAGCCTTAGTAGCGTGTCTGTCCAGATGGTTCCCGCTTCTTTGTGCTGCTTAATCTTGCAGCATGATCCAGGGGTGGCGAACGGGATTTGGAAAGATGCGTCAATGAAGCCGCCTTGGAAACCTTCCGCTTGCCTCTCGGCCGCCCACATCGTGTTGGTACGGCGAGAGCATGAGCGATTTGTCGACGGCCTCAAACTCCCAGTTGTCGCCAAAGCCACCAGTCAGGTGATTGAAGGTCCCCCGGCGCAACAGTTGAGGAGAGTGGCAGGATTCCTTTGGCAGTTTGTACAACATCCGCAGCGCAGAGCGTTGCCTGCTGTTTCTTCCACTGGTCGACTAGCCGGTCTCGCAGAGCGTACGGCTCCTTTCTGGCGTCTCCTGGAGATTCCTAAGCTGCCTTCGCCCCCGTTTTATTTTTTCACTGAGTTGACTAGGTTTGTAGAGGTTGATCGGATACTGATGATATTCCAACATTCCATCCTTTACCTCGGACGGCGCGGCGTAATGCGAGAAAGAAGTTGGATATTGGTGTCATCTATTGTAGAGCTGCTGACAGCTGCATATCCATGAGGGTCTGGTGTATCTAGGTAAGCAAGCGCTTGGTTCATTCCATACACGAGGGCTACCCCATTATAGGCGCTCTGGGTTCTTGCTTCCTCCATGTCCTTTCCGCGTCCTCTTCACTCGCCAGTAGGTGCGGCAAGGTTATGGAGTCGGGCTCATCGGTGAGGACGGCGGCACCGCCAAGTTCGGCCCTGACTGGAAAGGCTAGGCCGTGGACTGCTTCTACCACGTCGGGCTGTGGAACCCACAGGCCGTTGTTAAAGCCGATGTTGGCAGGGAAGGCGCCGAAAGCTCGATTATATACTCTTGTATATCGAAGGTCGTCTTCAAAATCATTTAGTAGCTTGGCCGAGATGAGTACTATAGGGTCCTTGTTTAGGGCGGTCTAAACCGCATGGACATGTGCTCTACAGGCGCTTTCGGGAGGCGAGGCAGTACGACGGGGCCGGTTGATCCGTGCTTGCAGATCGGCGAGATTGTCAGGAGGACGCGAATTCGGAGGACTCAGGACCCCATTCTCAAATGCAAGCGCCGCAAACCCGTATAAGGTCCTGTCTGTTGCTTTTGTTGTCTTTCTATTGTCCGTACTAGTAGTCGCTTGGGATCTCGAGCTAGACTTTGAACGGGAACTTCCTCCGCAGGACTTGGTCATCGTGTTGAACAGGAACAGATTCTCCCGTGTCAGCTTGGAAAAGACAGTTGGCTCTTGATGCCCCCGTCGTGCACGTTCAGGGCGGGGGGCGCGTAACTGGAACTGGGGGTTTGGAGTGATCTGAACAATTGCCGTTGTCGGCCAGCTGCTGACGTGCTTGAAGTTTGTGACTTCGTCATAGTTGTTTCGTTGCTAATCCAGAACCAGCATTGGCTATACCTGGCTGTACAAGCGGTTCAGCGCATGCACCCAGTGACCCGTCCGTTCGTGACAATCGAGTTCGTTCTACCGGCCTCGAGTCGCCGACTGGTGCTGCCTCGAGCTGGCGTTTCCTAGACCCGTAAGCGGCTTCCCAAGTTCAATTCCATGCCTGCTTAGTCCATCAGCACCCGAGATTCATACCATTCGCCTGATGATGTGGGAGCCCTGGTATCGCCTAGAGAAGGTAGTCTTCTAAGCTTCTTACCTGGAACATCCTCAAGAGGATGGGGTTTGGATGGCTTCTGGTTAGCCGGAAGGGGCCGCGGATTGACAGCCCTGCCTCTCGTAACGAGGAAACTTTGAGGCAGGACTCTTGAGAAGCCAGGCTTCAGAGATGTTGGCTTGGGCATCGTCTTGCAACAGGGTCAAGGCAACGACTTCAGGCAGCAAGCGGTGGGCAGTTAAGAGATTGATGGCGATACAGTCATTAAACGTGTCTTGATGGTCTGCGTGCCACAGTGGTGACAGTCGAGTTCGTTACTCTAGGTTTCCCTTCGCTCGCCATGTCGCGTTGAGACTTAATGTTGCAGATGCAGTCGCAGGGCAGGCGACACAGCCATCGCATCAGCGGGTACGTTCCGCGAGACCAGAGTGATTGTGATGATGCAAGGAAACAGAGAATCCGGTAAAACTTAAAGCTACCGTTTCCTCCCTTTCCTAAAATTGTAAGAAAAGAGTGGCTGTTCTGATGTTGAGATTGTTGACCCTTCCTTCATCTCGAAGTCAGGCGCTACTCCGTACTTGGGAACTGAAGATCTCCATCGACACCGGCAACATAAAGCCTATAAGACGCCCAGCTCCTGCTGACATTGCATGATTCTTTGCTTGGGCTATCAAAGCCAACGTGCCTCTCAAGAATGGGCTTCACCGTCCAAGACTTGAACAACCGTGAACAGTTTGTCAGTCCAGACCTAATGATTGCTCGAGCTGGCCCTGTGCAACGCCCGGACCCCTTATAGATTCGTGCACAACACCGTACTCAACACCGTGTATATACTGTCTACAGTCGAACTACGCTAGTACAGCCACGTGATCCAGGCGCCCCTCCAGAATGAGCCACACAGTTTCTGAATCCACTCACCTCTTTCTACAAGTCGCTTTCGCCTCTCATCCTCCCACCGAATCCTATCCACCACAAGGTGTCCAGGATCGCGATACATTCAGCCCAGCTGTATCGCATCCTGATATCAAAGAATCAAACAGCACGTGAATCTTGTGACACTGAAAAGAACAGGAATAAAAAGAAGAGAGAGAAAAAAACTACAAGAAAACAAAAATGTCAGGCTTGGACGTCGAGGCCCTCCTTGACTCGACTGCCTCCTCCAAGGAGCAGAACAGCAAGGCAACAGCTAATGGGAGCTCGCCCCAGGCAGGAAGCCGCAGCGAGCGATACGAGCGCGACCACGAGCGTGACCGCGGCCGTGATCGCAGCCGCGACGGCGACCGAGACCGCGACCGGGCTCGAGACGGACACAAGCGTCGCGATCGCAGCGGAGGCCGCTACCGGGACTCTTCTAGTGGACGAGACACCCCCAAGAGCGGGACTGGAAGTCATAAGAGTAGGCGTAGGAGCCGGAGCCATGATTCTGGTCGACACTCACGTCGTCATAGAGCCGACGGAGACTACTACCGGGGAAGCAACCGCGGTGGCCGCGGCGGCCGTTCACGTTCTCGCTCGCCAGCCCGTTCCTACCGCCCTTCCGGAGACGACCGTCGTGGCTCGCGTGATGAGTATCGCCGCCGCGATGACGACCGTCGAAGCCGCAGGCATAGCACGCCTCGCGACCCGACCCCTACCGGCGACGAGCGCGATCGCCGTACCGTCTTTGTCCAGCAGCTAGCCGCCCGCCTTCGCACCCGCGAGCTCAAGGAATTCTTTGAAAAGGTTGGCCCCGTGGCTGAGGCGCAGATTGTCAAGGACCGCGTCAGCAACCGTAGCAAGGGGTAAGTGTCATCATGCCTGTCTAGTGCCTTAACCATCAACTGAACCCTGTCGCTAACATTATGCTCTCAGAGTTGGCTATGTCGAGTTCAAGAATGAAGAATCAGTCGCTGCAGCCCTCCAGCTCACTGGTCAAAAGCTCCTAGGTATCCCCGTCATTGTCCAACTCACCGAGGCTGAGAAGAATCGCCAAGTGCGCAACTCGGAGTCGTCTGGAAATCACCCCAACTCGATCCCCTTCCACAGACTGTACGTGGGAAACATCCACTTCAGCATCACTGAGCAGGATCTTCAGAACGTCTTCGAGCCCTTTGGCGAGCTCGAGTTTGTGCAGCTGCAGAAGGACGACAACGGTCGTAGTCGGGGCTATGGCTTCGTCCAGTAAGTGTCCACTCATCTTCGATTTCTGACATGTCGCTAACAAAGCTCTAGGTTCCGCGACGCTACGCAAGCCCGGGAAGCCCTGGAGAAGATGAACGGATTTGACCTGGCCGGTCGTCCGATCCGTGTGGGACTTGGAAATGATAAGTTTACCCCAGAGTCAACCGCCAATCTCTTACGCGGATTCCAAGGCCAGAATCAACAGTATCAGGGATCTGCTTTCTCGGGAGCCGGCGGCAGAGGCCCCCCGACCTCCAACTTTGACCGGGCCGGCGGCAGAGACAATGACAAGGGCGCCGGCGCCAGCGCCTTGGACGACACGGATGTTGCTGGCGTTAACTTCAACAATTATAGCCGAGATGCCCTCATGCGCAAGTTGGCAAGAACTGACGAGCCAAACAACGGCCCTATTGAGCGACAGGTTCTCAAACCCAAGACCGAGACGAAACCGCTTCCTGTCAACGTCAACATGGCGAGTCGCTGCGTGGTTCTGCATAACATGTTTGACCCAGCCGAGTACGTAAACATGCCCTTCTTTCGTAGACACAACCATACTAATGATTCTGCAGGCAAGAAGGCGAGGATTGGATCAAGGAGCTGGAGGACGAGGTTCGTCAAGAGGCCGAGGAGAAGTACGGCCATGTTGTGCACATCGCACTCGACCCCAACTCTCAGGGCGATATCTACCTCAAGTTCGACAAAGTCCAGGGCGGCGAGAATGCCATCAAGGGCCTGAACGGCCGCTATTTCGACGGAAGGATGATCTCTGCTGCTCCGGTTGTGGACGCGGTCTACAGCAGTTTGTTCTCTCGCACCAAGGCGATCTAGACACTAATCACGACACCCTGCTGTCTGTCTGCTTAGGAAATTCCCAAGGTAAGCCGTTTCATCCTCGCATCCACCACTCTATGCTAATTGCTACGTCTGCAGTCTCTCGCGCCCCGCGCTTGAGTGATACCCACTCACTTCTCACCAGATGCCCCTTCCACCCCGATCTCGGCTATCCACCCCGTCCAGAATCGTTCAACCCCACACCAAAACATCCCGATAGTCGACGAGTTGACGATACGCCCGGCGAATGAGCCTGGTGTTGTGTCCGCTCCTGGCCTGATCACCCATTGGGCCCTGTCGATAATCGCTGATTTCCACCCGCACTAGTACCGCACCGCGCCTCTTGTCCCACTTCTCACCATCACGGCTCAGTTGGGACGCGGACTCTATAAAAAAGGCGCACTTTTCAAGATGGCGTTGGCGTTTGATGTTGCTGATCTGATATTGTACACCTAGGCAGAGAATTCGACTCACGAAGCGGGAGGACTTGTTGGGGCCGGGCCGGCAGGATGGGCAGCACCTCACCTGCCTGCGGGCACACATGCAGCGATCCTCTTTAATTAGTTCTTTTCTTCGTCAGTACGTGATTCGGGTAGCGCCGAGAGAATAGAGACATTCTACTGAAGCCTTTCGTGAGGTGGTTGGACCTTTTGCTAATTGTGTGTCTGTCTGTCTATGTTGAGCGTGACTTGAATTCGCTAAGGTGCAATGTCGTTGTAGGTTACCCGGCCGAGTCTCAGCTGGGTTGCTCCTACTACCTATTGCCTAGGATTGTGTCAATCCGGGAAAGTCCTCTTCGGCTCCTTCTACAGGTGGTGGTGGGAAGGGAACACCAGGCCGACAGTTGCCTAATGGATCACTGACGTTGACGTTGAACACGACACTTATGCTTCGACTTCGATTGTCCCCGTCGTGGCATCTGACCTGAACCTGTCCCTGCGGTCACATCCCTACTGAAAAGACCTCCCACTGTTCTCAGTTCGATTCTTCCTAGAAGCCAACCAACCTGGTGGGTGCCTGAAATGCGAAGTCTGGGTCAAACGAAAGGCCGCCAACAAGCGGTTGGACATGACAAGAGGGATGGGCACACTCACAGGTACGACACGCTGCGGTTGAGGCCGGATGACGACCTCACTACTACCGTCGCCGCCGATCCTTGAGTATTGAGATACCTCATCTACAACGTCTTTGCAGCATTTTCGCGTCCTCGAATGCTCTGCCCTCTAAACGAAAATACACGTTCCTACCCCATTCCTACACCATGGGCCGGGCCAGCCTCGACGCATCTGAACTCAATCATTCGTGAACTGCCCGGGGTTATAAGTCAAGTCCCCCTTCCTACTTTCACCCCCCACCGGGTAGAGTGAAGTGAAGTGATACCCGAGCGGTTACAAGTCGAGAACCCCACAATCTACTTTCTCAGGCGACCCAGTTCGAAGCGTGTCGTCGCCGCCGTTCTTTTGCCAGGCTGAAGCTGCCCTCACATCTCCAGCAGCCACGAGATGAACTACCAGCTGTATCCGAGACAAAATATGCTCGGGCCATTACCAACAAGCTGAGTATGAAGATAAGGGCGACTTGAATTCAGCCCCGATCAAGGAGCAGGACCTAGCGAACTTCGCCAAGTATGCCTACACTCGTCTCTACGCGGTCCATGACAGAAATCGGGACCGCTTGGTCAAGTGGCGCCAGGACATGAACCGTGAACGGGTTTCTGGAATACGGAGGGAGATGCTGTCAAGGAGTTTATCGACGAAATCCCAGATAGCAAACTGGAGGGACTTCCGACATCGCAGGGCCTTATCTATGAGAACAGAAACTTCAGGCTGGACATGCAGGGCGTAAGCAAATTTTTATTTAGGTATTATAGCCTTGTACCGGTTCTGACTGATTGTTATAGATGACTACGGGTTCTAAGGTCGAACCTCCCGGTCCTTTGGTTCAGATATTCAGTTTGGAGTATCTTATGGTTAAGGGATATCACGAGAGCCTAAGTGGGCAGCGTCAGAAGGCTGTAACGACTCAATACCTGCTTGCCATTTATGGCGGCTATTGAACAGCAAAGGAACTAGAGGAAAGCGATAATAGTTATGCTCGACACCCACCGCTGCTGCCGCCGCCGATTCCCAACTTGAAAACGCCGAGCAGATAGCCGTGGCGTGCACTGCTGCCTCCATCACGAGGTTGCGGAGGACAATACCTAGTATGTCGTCAATATCACGGTGGTAGTTCAAGAGCGACGGGAGATATCACTGACCAGGTCATTTCACTTCTCAAGCGGTTTCGCTCGACTCCGCTAGTACGTTCCTCCGGCGCCGGCCAGTTCCTCCTCGTATAAGCAAGCTCAACCTTCACACTTCCAACCCTCCCGGGCAGTATGGTAGAGTGGTAAAGATCGAGACCGCAAGCAAGATGTCGCCTGTTCAAGTCGCCTCTTGTCCAGGCCGCTCGTCGGCGCCATTCCTCCGACATGGGCACTGTTGAAGACGATAGCTTGCCTTCGGTTAGTTCGCGTATACCCAGTGGCTGCAGGCCGGGAGGGCCCTCAACCAAGAGACTCCCGCGAGTCCAACAGCCTACCGCCCTCATGGAAGATTCACGACGTCGTCAGCATTGATCACCTGGAACCACATACATTCGATCCTTACGGCAGGCACCTTCCCGCGATTCAGCCTGTTATGACCGAAGATCACCCCATCAAGAAGATCCTGGCGCAAAGGATCACGGCAGGGAAGCATTGGTATCTTGTACAGTTTGAAGGACTGGGTCAGGAATTTGATCAATGGGCCAATGGCTTCCAGAACAGTTGACGGTTGGCAAACAGGGCCCCAGAATTGCTTCGAGAATGGCTTCGGAACCCAACAGAACTAGAGAGAAATAGGCGGATATCATCACGAGAAGCTTCCTTCTTCGCCTGTTCTGAATTCTGAATTCTGAACGTTCTGACAGCCATTCTTCAGAACGTCAGTATTCGACGAGGGCGCCGATCATTCTGGCGGCGGGCAGATTGTTACAGTGGCAGGCAGGTACCTGGCAGCCACTTCCACAAGCGGTTAGCACATTAGGTAGCTAGATATCCAGCAACGCCACAGTTGCCGGATCTTTTCCTCATACAATTCAGAATCAATTCAACTATGAAGATCTTAGTTTCGGCTGTGCGTTTGAAGGTTATTGGGTTACACGCAGAGACAGACGTCGAGCTAGGCTACGCTAGCAGCGCAACCGCTACCGAAGCTGTTACAGTGGGCAGGCAGGTGCCTGGCAACCAGAGCTCCAGTATTGCTTCGGGAATGGCGGGAATGGCTCCAGAAACTCGAGATGTTCTGCAAGACAGCACAGCATCTCAGACTGATTCCAACCTCATCGTCACACTAGGACCATGTACTCATAGCTCGACTCAGGGAAGCCAACTTGGGTGGGACAGTCCAGTATGTTCTCCCGCCGGGGTCCATCGAATGATGCCAGGCAGGATTTAAAGTTCTAACTGATTAGAACAGATCAAGAGGAAAGGCACCCCACCACCGATTGGAAAGCTTGAACTATGGGCATCAATTTCAATTGAAACGAAAATACGAAACTGTTTACCTCTCCCTCGATCCTCGATCCTCCCCTCCGGCCTCCGGCCGGCAGCCTGGTCTGTCGCTTCAAAACGGGAACGGGAAAGTTCTCAGCACCGCTGCCTGGTCCGTCGTCCACTGACCATTCCGTCTTGATGACCTCGCCTCTTCGAGTCCAGTCATAGATGCTATTGGCAAGGGCCAGTACCCTTGTCCAGCGTCCTGGGTCCCTTTCTCCCACGCGATGTGACGCTTTCATGCTGTGTTTCCCCCCCTTTCTTGTCTCTGTTGAAATCCCTGCCGCTCGCATGTTGATGCCACGGGTCTAGTTGCAAGTGTGTGTCTCCCCTTGCGTTTCTGTCGGGTTTTCTATCTTACTGAGCTGTCACCATTCTGTGCAGATGGTGATCAGCGGTACTCGGAGTGTGATATCCTCCACCCAAGTCAGGCCTTGACAGTGTCAACGTCGACTCGTTGTGTATGCGTTTTGTCTTGTCAGGTATAAGTATCTAGCGGTATCACTGTGTCTTTTCCACCTATGTGTACTATTAGCAGGCGGCAGCAACAAGCTAGGTTCCTAGGGGATTTACCTTAGTCAGCCTAGTCTCTGCCGACCTCCTTCTTTCTTCCATTGCTGTCTTTGGCGATTCTTCTCTTTCTGCTGCCAACTGTTGGCTATTCACGTTGACGTCTGTTTTGCAGGGCCTAATAATGGCTGATTATACGTCTTCCCAGGTATGGCTATGCTGACTTGTGTCTTTCCATATACAAAGGTATACCATGCTGAGCAACAGGCTAGATTAGCCTAGGATGTAGGCCCCGCCGTCCTGCATTCCTGCCGAGTTAGTGACTCTTCTATCCCATAGTCGACTGTCGACAGTCGACGTCAGTCGGCAAGGCTGGACCCCGTTATATCTTACCTCCTATAGTTCCCTTCTCCTATGTCCGCTCATATAGGTATACCTTGCTGCCGAGCAAGGCTAGGTCAACCTAGTTCTGACCTAGTCCATCCCCCTCTTACGCTCTGCTTTCCAACATATTCATTCTTGTGATTCCACCGGCAACTGTCGACGTCAACTGAGTCAGTCAGCCATGTATATCTTCTCGGCATGGAGCGTCTTGTTGTGAACTCACTTGTATCCCCCTTATTCCTCCTTATCCTGCTGCAGGTTACTAGTAATAACCATATAGTGCCAGGCCAGGGTCTTCGTTACACAACACTATTCCTCTTTTCAAACCGTCTTGTCCTCTTCTTCTTCCTCCCCCCTCCCCTTTGGTACTTGTTGTGTATTTGTATGGTCCTGCTCTTTTTGGTTGCAGACCGTGCTGCATCTTGACAATAACCATACACGGGCCAAAGCGAGTTCCTTGTCAGTCAACATGCCACACCTTTTCAAGTACCCTTGACAAGGCTCTTTTTCAACCTCTTCCTTGTTAAGG